TAATTCATAAATTGGTGGATTAATTGAGATATAATCCACTGTTTGACATAGTGAGATAGACCAATTGAGGTATATAATGCAGTTTTATCACAAAACTTTTAAAAGATATTCGAGTATCTTTTTGCTCATATACCATGTTAAGTAGTTAAGCTTTGACAAGTTCTTATTGGTGACATGTAATTGCATCTGACTTCCTGTTCTGCATTTTGTGAGAATGTGGATTATACCTCAATTGAGGTATAATCCACTAATTGATGGATATTCACGAATGGTTTCCTTAAGTCTGCATCAGTTCCAACTTTAAGAATTGTTAGTCGAAATGGATAGGAATAGACTGTGTAACAAAAATAAGATTTAATAGATAAAAACTCATAATTTATAAGTAGGAAAAGGAGGGTCATTTTAGTTTTTAGGTTTATATAACAAAATGCAGCACGAAGTGTCAGAATCAATTACATGTCATCAGTAAGTGGTCATCCAAGAATGTTATGGTAAATACAAAAAGATGCTCTAATATCTTAAAAAAAATTTTAGTATAAAAACTGCATTATACCTCAATTGGTGTATCTCATTATATGTCAAATGGTGGATTATACCTGAATTGAGGTATAATCCATCAATTAATGGTTATTCCTGACCTGCTGAACGAATTCTAGTCACTTTTGCACCCAGTATAGTAAATTCAGCACCTAATCAAATCTGGACCTGGTTAATTCGGCACCCAAGGCAGTTATTTCGGTACCCATGATTAATATATATATGTTTTGCAAGTAAACTATTGAAGACTCTGTTTTTTTCAATTTTTTTTAAGATATGTTCGCTCGAGGTATCACTATATACAACTGTACATTAGTTTAAACATATTTTTTTGTTTGAAAAGGACACACAGATTAGCAAAAAGTTTTTCAACTTAGTATTAGTAACATCTTCTCCAAACTGTACAACATCAAACAGCAAACAACTGATTATTTTTCATTGTGTCTTGTAACTGCTTAATTACATGCACAGGATGATTTTTTAACGTGGATTTAATCAATCTCTGCAATTGTACATTGTACGTTTTGCAAAAAAAACAAAAAATAAAACAAAAAAAAAACTATTCTCCCCATACCTCAAATAAAAAAAAAAAGGGAAAAGGTCAAAAACATTTGGTGCCAAATTGACTAACCAAATGCCGAAATGACTTTAAATAGGTGCCGATTTGACTTTTTCTTTGGGTGCCGATTTAACTTGTACCCTGCTCAGAGGCTGCTGTCAATGTCAGTGCTGAACGGGAGCGTCTTTTTACCACAGAACACCACAGAATACCACAGAACACTACAGAACACCACACAATACCACAGAACACCCAAAATTTACCACAGAACTTCGAAATAATAATACTTCAGACATTATTATCGTGCTATTGTTAATTCTTTTTATAATTTGACATTCATTATTCAAATAAAATTTATTTTTCTATTTAGGGTGGACTCATTAACGCTACGCCCCCAACTGAATGGCCAATATAAATTGGGATCATACCGAAAACCCTTAGCTATTCAAACCATAATATATTTATATTTGTGACATTTATATTTTAAATACATTTTAATCTTTTTTGTAATCTTAATTCATTTTTGAAAATGTTTAGATACATTAAGTAATTATTTGTTAAATTTATTTTGTTTTACCAGGTGTTTTTTTTTGTCACTTTTTTATGAATTCTATGTTAAGAGTTGTTACAATAAATAATCAAAATGGTTAATGTAACATTTTATTGAAGTTGTTGTCAACAAATAATTAAACTTTATTAAAGTGATTAATGAAGTTATTTGTTAAGCTGATATCTAGAGTTGTTCAAACAATTGGCGAATGTGTGTACATCAAAGTTTTCTCCATTTATAGAGTTATATATAAAACTTCAATAAGATATCTAATTAAAAGTTGTTGTAGGACAGTAATATTTGAGTTGACTTATAACATATTATAAGTGTGCCTTGTTAATTGTCAATTAAAAGTTCAAGCTCGATGACTGTTTTTGGAATCTTATGTTGTGTGTGTATCTTCTCCAATCATTTAACAATATTTCGGATTTTTACCAAATTTTGTATGCATTTAGAAATCGTTGAACTGAGCATTTACATATATATTCTATATTTTTTAGTCCAAAATTAATGTTGACCATAGCAAGTTCACCGACACAATTAAAGTACCGAAATTTAATTAGATAAACCAATTTTGACACTTGTGGTAATCACCAATTAACATGTCATTTAAATTATCACACCTGAGACATCAAATACATTTAATTAAATTATCTTATATAATCAGGTGGCAGCTAGAATCCAAACAATGAAGAATTTTGTAAATATTCAATTATTAATGAAATATATATTATGTTAAATAGAATGTTGAAAGCAGTCTTCCTGATCTAATTATTGTCTAGTCATTTCAAGAATAAAATTTTTATGATAATAAAAATTCAAGATTAAAATGTGAACCGATGATCACCATCATTTTAGTTGGAAAATTAAAATCATTGTCTTATAGGTTTATTAATTTCACAGAATAAATAGTTACATATGAGATCTTTCTTAATTTCACGAAAAAATTTTGTAAAGCAAAAGAGTTATTAACACTTTTTATCGATCAGTTCAATATATTCAAAGCGTATATTGATCAGCGATTGAGAAAACCGTACAGTAATTTTTTTGTTGCTAAAAACTGTTTTTTTAAATGTTTATTTTAGATTTTCATTATTACAATGCATTAGTTTAGTGTCTCAAAGGTCTCCAAATGTAAACAAAATATGGAAAATAACAAAAAAGTTATGATCATTTTTATCTCATCCAGTCTGGGACTGTTAGTATAATAGTCCCATATCCAGTCAATCATCATGTCATTGGTGTAACCCGAATTAAAGAAATAATATAATTCGGAATTATTAGATTTGCGTTTTATAAAGTAATTTTACTGTTCTGTGGCATATTTCAGTAGTTTTGTTGTTATTTGTGTAGTTCTGTGGTATATTTTGAGTGTTCTGTGGTATTCTGTGGTGTTCTGTGGTAAAAAGACGTTCCGGTGCTGAACAGCTTCATGAAAATTATATGGATTCCTCTTTCACGTATTCAGAGGTAACAACTGGCTTTAAAAATACATGCATCTGTACGAATGGCGAAAGTTTAAAAGCTTATTGACGAGCCAAGTTTCTACTGTGGTATATAATTGTATCGTAGCAAAACAATCATACTTTTGTGAAGTTTGACATGTTTCGTCTCTGGACCGGAAATATGTGTTGCTACAGTAAATACAGAACATTCAGGAAACAACTCCGATTATCCGTGATAATAAAGTTTACGATCTTAGGATCAGGATCAGGACGGGGAACTCCAAAGCAGTCTGCCTACTAAATATAAGTGGAAAACATTAGTGAATTTTAAAATGTCAAATTATTGGAATAATGCTCTTCAAATTGACACAGTCCAAAAGACATCACTTAAATATCTAGCTATAATGGAAAGCCGCATATCTCCTACACCACATTGCAACATGTTCGAAAAGGTTTAATTAAAAGTAGGATGATGACACGAACGTATACACTACAAGCTGATCGGCATAAATTCAGCAGATAGGAAATTACTCCAACTTGTCAAATGTGCAACCAAGAACCAGAAGCTTTCATGTCGATCCGGCCCCACGTCGATCCGGCCCAACGTCGATCCGGCCCATATTTAAAGTCGATCCGGCCCAATAAAAAAATATATTTATAAGGAATAAAAATAAAGATATATATTAATTGTAATTCATAAATGTTTATGAGTTTTATTATAATGTAAAAGATGTACGGTAAAAAAAATTGGCCTTTGACAAATATTTTCTTTAGATGAGTTTAAAACAACTATGTTGATTATGTGTTCATTACAACTTTTCAAGATTATTGGGTATAATTATAATAAAAACGTATATAATTGAATTTAGTACAATCAACAGACATCAACATTAATCAGCAGTAATTAGCATTTCTTTCAATCAGTTGACTGTGATCTTAACAAGTCTTTCATCCTGTGTAATAACAAATAGTTACATACACAAGTGCGTCTGGTAGATGAACAGAGTCTTGCCCGTTGGCAACGCACCAAGTATCAACGGTCACAGGGACGCCTCTCTTCACTATGGGAGCAACTTCAAGACGGTACCATCACCACCTCCTTCTTCCTTCGTGCCGTCGGACACATGTACGACATTCCTGTGCCAGACCCAGAACCAGAAGAAGACACTGACAGCGAGTGATTTAATTGACATTGAGTGAACTGTATGACTTGTGTTATGTTAGTGCATATGTGGCTACAATCTATATGTTTATATAACATTTATTTATTAAATGCTTAATGAGTATTCTTTATGTTTAGAATAATAAAGTGCGTTTGTTCTTGGTGAGCTAATCAAATTGAACAATTATAGTGCTGTTAGTTGTTCTATAATATATATTATATATGTACTGCGTATGATATTTACTGTATATGTTATTGTAGTGCTGTAAGTGTGACCCCTTTTATATTATGCGAGTGACAGTGTAACTGTTAGTGTAAATGATTTAAGAGTTATATATATTTATGTGAGTGTCAGAGATAGTGTGTTTGTTAGTGTGTATGAATTTATTGTTATATTATAGTAGTGCTGATATTATATTTTAGAGAGTGAAAAGGTGCATTCAGTGTAACTATTTTGTTATTATCTTGCAGTAAAGAATATTGGATACTCATATAACTTGTTTTTTATCTACATACTATTCAAAATATTGTCAACTTTAAAAAAATATATTGACTATATTCGATATTACAAAAAAAAACGTGTGTTATAGAAACCTTTGATGTTACCTGAAAAAAATACAATTAATTATTATAAGACATAACGCCAAACAAAAGATCAAACTATAAAGACCTTGTTGATTACGTAACTTTAATCAATCAGGATTTGATTGAATTATATAAGTGATTACGAGTGGCATTACCTTAGTTCACAATCATTAGACAATTGTTGAATAAACAATTAAACCAATTATAGACTAATGATTTGATTAAACAAACCATTATGATGTAGGGACGGATCGACGTGGGCCGGATCGACTTGGGGCCGGATCGGTTTGGGGACGGAACGACCGGATACCGAACCAGAAGACCTTATTCATATGCTTACTAGTACCTGCTCAGCATTAAGTGAGACAAGAAAAGAAACTTTCAACCCGATAAAAACTTATGTAACCAAATTCATTGGAGAAATGAAGTGGAAAGAGACATTCATTGATAGACATAAAATTACAGTCCTTATAATTGACTGTACAAACTTCACATATATATTCAGTGAAAGCAAGCTCAAAGTCAAAATAGAAGAACTAGAAATGCTCACAAGTGATATGTGCTACAAGATGCATAACTCGAGACTAAAACTGATAAGTGTTTAATGGCTGTTGACAATTATCACTCAACTTAGATACTTAAAGTCTATTTTAGATTTTAGCAAGTGTATATATATTCACGGAGTGTGTACATAGTTAAAGACTTTTTATCCATATTACCCTCAAAAGAGGGGTGTTCCTAACAGAGGAAGCTTATACGAAGAAAAGAAGAAGGACGATTACATAACATAGTTTGACAACAAATTTCATGTGATAAGGACCTAGAGATGGTTTTAAAATGAATAGACCCATTTTACAAAGATTTATTGCAACATCTTCCCAAGTCTTTAAGCTTTCTAGCAGGTAGAGATAATCAGGACAGGAAGAAGAAGAATATTTGAATATGTGTTTCTTTTCTTTTCAAGCATAGATCATTGTACACTATACAAATCCTTGATTGTATATCATTAGATACATGTCTAAAAAGCACAGGCACTTGTTTTTATCCATAGGGAGGTCGACTTCTATTAAAGATGCTTAGTTGACGATAGAAAAAAGTGCCTGTAGGCTGTACTAAAAAGCCTAAGAATTTGACACCATGCATATGCATGCTTGGCTCAGGCATCCCTCTTGCCAAACTACAATAAAAATAGGCTGCAGACCATATGCAGTCAGGGGACTTACTTAAATGAGTGTTTTTTTAAATCACTGATTCAAGTAACATTGTGTCCACAAATGTTGGAAGTAAGAGTTGTCTTTCTTTAATAATCACCTATTTAAGTAGTACAAATAAATAGGTGGGTCTTTTCACCACCGAACACTACCGCACACCACCGAATACTGCCGAACACCCCAAAAAACACCAACCACTTAGAAAAAAAGTGATATTATACAATAAAACAATAAAATCACGTATAATTGAATCAATTTTTAGATTTTTATGTGCATCATTTTTATGTTAAAGTCGATAATCAATATAATGAAAAACGTCTTGGGAATCATCACTATTTTTCCTGGATTACATTGTGTGTATAATATATATTTCAAATAAAATTCAAATATATTCATAATTAGTAATCAGTTCAAGTATTTATCTTCGATCTCTGTTTATTGGTTAGATTTTGATATTGTCTCTTTTCTTATTATATTTATCATGTTTATTGGTACAGATATTTTATAGAAGAAGAAAAAATGAAAAAAATAAATATTTGAGGTGTCCAATGGCAGTGGTGGTTTGCGGAGTTGTGGTCTTATAAGACTCTCCTTTTCTGTTCGATGTAGATATTTGGTCTCTTAATCTTATTATTTGATGAAGTAATAACTTAAATATTATATTTAGGTGACATTTATAACGATAAAAGATAAAAAAAAAAAAAATTGGGGTGTTCGGTGGTGTTCGGCAGTGTTGTTCGGTGGTGAAAAGACCTACCGCAAATAAATTAATAGACTAAGTGATATAATTTTATTGTAGCTTTAAATATACAATACTAATGATCCAGGGACTAATTATGTTGCTAAAATTATCAGAACCAACATCTGTGTTGATAGGATGACCGGTCATGTCAGGTTATGACCTTGTACTGAATCTCGGATAATGACATGAAAAATCACTTAAGTATCATACCTCTATTTTCTTAAAAAAAATCACTTCTTTAAGTATTATTTTAATTACCCCCATTAATTTCAACACCCCGAACAGTGAAATTTTGATCGTGAACAGTAAAATTTTATTACATAATCTGTTAGATGAAACCTTGAATTTTACAGGAAAATTACTCCCACTGCTGGGAAAAATCTGTTAAGAAAATATCAGTTCATTATTTAAAGCCTTTATTATAGTATTTTTTCAACAAATATAGAATTTACAGCTAAATGATTGCATCAAAGGCATAAACCTTGCTATTTAAAAGAAGAAAAGCCCGCCTTCATTTTTTCCAATTTTACTTATAATAAGATATAATCTAAACCTATATGTTTAAAATTTTGGTAAAACTACAAAATCACAATTTGTGATAATATTTCAAATTTGCTACTTAAATAAGTGATCTTTAAATCATTTATTTCAGTAAGTCCCCTGACTGATATGTAATATAACAAATCCGGGTCCGTGGGCTTAAAAATGTTCGCTCCGTTTCATGTTCCCACCCTGGGTCTGTTTGTGCCCTACATGATGTTCGCACCCTGGAACATATATATATAATTCTGCTTATTTAGTGTTGTATTACAGCTTTCAAATGTTGATATATATATATACCATATTTAGACCCCACTACCAAGAAATTAGTTTAGCATGCACACGTATAAAAATTGCGGTTTTTATCCAACGCAATCATAGGTTTGAACGTTGTTTTCAATTTAGACTTGTTTATATTTTTTCGTTTGGGCTTGTATTATATTTGCCTTTGGGTTTATATAATCCGTTCATCCTATTTCGACTCTTCAAAATTCAAGAGTCAATCCTAAATTGAGGTAAATTATATGGCCTTCCAAATACCGTTTCGAATCCTAACATCACTGAAGAGACATATATACCATATATATATATATATAAACATTTTTTCTTTATGATATAAATATAAGGAGTTGTCATATGATTACCAATGAGACAACTATCCACCAAAGTTCAAGTGAAGTGGATGTAAGCAATTACAGGCAACCGTATGGCCTTCAATAATAAGAAAATCCCATACCATATAGTCCGCTATAAAAGTCCCTGACATGAAATATATGAAACAATTCAATAGAGAAAACTTGCAACGATCTAATTTATTACAAAACTATTTACGAAAAACAATTATCACAGACATGAAACAACAACAACCACTGAACTACAAGCTCCTGACTTGGAACAGGGTAAGGCACATAAAGAATATGGCGTGATTAAAGATATGTTCTAAAGATGATATAGATGTGCAAAGCTACAATGTATGTCATGAAGAATCGCTGTAATTTCTAATATCACAAAAGCCAAGGACTTAGCTATAGGGGTTCTACAATTATCCAGTTCTTAGAATACAAATGTTATGTAATATGTCTATCTTATTATCATTCAGAGGTGCAAATGAGAACTAAAATGAAATGGTTATTTGTTTTCTAACATTATGTGACATAACCATGATAACTGGAAAAGTTTATCATAAAAGTAACCAAAGGAAGTTATAAGTTTGGCCTTTCAAGGGACATAACGTATTAATTCTAAAAAATCTTGTGAATGATTCTAGCTGACTAATGTTTTAGCTATATTCCTGATTCAGGGTCAATTTCCTCAGAAAAGTAATTTAATATTAATTTCTTTATAATAAGTATGACTCTGATCTACAGACAATGACAGATAATGATGAAAGTTTAAATTTAATATCCAAATGGTGTTACAGTGTTATTTAGAGTCCATCATCATTCTTAACTTACATCGTATACATGGAAAATTATTTATAATTCAGAGAGGGGAAGTGTCTGTTATTTACCATATTTAATCACAAATGGAGAAATACCACAGTACCAATTTTAAAGTAATGCTATGACCTTGCCAGATAATTAAATACACAACCTCTGTTACCACAGAGGCAGTTATCTAAATAAGTTATAGAGGAATGACAATTTGTCAGTGTATTCATTGGCAACAATTCAAGAGGTTTATTATTACAAAAATTTGTCACCTAAACCTTTATTTAATGCATACATGGCTTGGCAAAGTACGGATAAAGAAACCTTCAAGTCATGCATACAGGAATGCTGTTTGTATATTATTCCACTGTTTAAACATATTGATAGTTTATTCAATATTTGATTGGTTGAGACTATCCCACGTGTCATTGAACAAATCTTCATATTCCATTCTGAGGATCATATTCCCCTCTGAAATGTCGGGATTACTTCGTGCGAAGTTACGCACGGTTAATGTACATAACGTTTTGAACTTCTTATTCTTCTTAAAATAGCGATAGCAAAAATCATTATCATGTTCACATTTATTTCAGACGATAAAACAAAAAGACTTATAATTAGATTTTGATCCTTACTGTTTATCAGTGGGTATGTCGTGTTTAGTTTGACTTACAAAAACAAGCGGATAAGAAAAAAAATGTATGCAAAATAATATTTAATGTATTGATAGTAAACAAAGCAAAGGCAGTGGAATAAAACATTCATTTCCCTTTGCCTCGGGAGATATGAAGATTTGTTCACCCTCGAAAAATCATATTTCCCTCGGGCAGAGCCCTCGTGAAATATGAATATTCTTGGGTGAACAAATCTTCATATCTCCCTCCGACACGGGAAATAAATGTGTATTGTTCATTGGTCACTTATATACATGTACATCTGGACACATTTTTGATAATATTTTAGGCCTGCATGAGAGAATTTGAGTTCAGTGTTGATAGCAGAACTTAATTTGTTTGTTCCTATTAAATAATTCTCAACATTTATAGACTATACATATGTACAATTTAGAGCTTGACATATTGTATAGACACTATAGGTGTCTATTGTTGAAGACTGTATATATGTCACTTTTATTGTCCTTAAGACGTCTTTTGGTTATTTTTGTTATTGGGTTGCTGTCTCATCGACATATACTTAACATCTCCTTTTATTCAAAATCACCAAACAATTCTGTACCATAATATATTTTACATGCAAAAGTGATTCATTGTTAATTATAGCTAACACATTGATGCAGCTTAAAGTCAAAATACAATTAAATCTTATATACATTTAAGTAAAACTATGGAGGTGACCATATAAGGCTAAAGCTATTGTTTGTAATAGCTCTATTTATTCTATTTACATGATATATTTTATGCAGATTCTCTACAAGTAATACTTGCAGTCAAAAACAGAAATGGAGCTACTTCCAGGGTCCTAGTGATGCACCATTGTTAGGAGTAACCATTGGTCAGGGATTGGAACAGAGAGCTGATTTAAATCCTGATAAAGAAGCTGTTATCTTCTCTACTGGAAATGTCAGGAAAACATTCAGTCAGCTATTAGAAGAGGTATTTTTAATGAACAGTGTACATTTTAATTACAAAGAGGTATTTTTAATGAACAGTGTACATTTTAATTACAATGAGGTATTTTTAATGAACAGTGTACATTTTAATTACAATGAGGTATTTTTAATGAACAGTTCACATTTTAATTACAATGAAAAAGACAACCAGGAAGTACCTAGGCTATAATTTGAGAGATTTCCAATACTATATAAAGTAAGTGATGATGTCCTTTTATAATGGTGCTACTTGTATAACAATATTTTAAATTGTAGGGAAAACTTCAGATGGAAGAGAACAAAATTGAACCTCCATGAATTGTCGAAGTCTATACAAGGGAAATAGGAGAGTTAGAATTTCCTGTATTTATCAAGAAAAAAATACTATTCACTGTCAATCATTTACTATTTAAGAAAATTCAACTTTAGATTGAAGATATTTATCAAAACCACTGATTTAATTAGATCCAAACATACTATGAAGCATCCCTTAGTAGCTATAAAATAGGATGATGCAAATTTCACCATTGATATAATTAATTAATTAAACATAGTGGAAAGCAACACTGATCATTTACCTCAAAGTATTACAGTCCTTTAGAACAAAATATGGGGAAATTGATATTTAAATTGTTTCCTATCAGTAATGTCTTTGATGCTCCAGAAAATGTTATTATTTTGCTTTATTTTTAAGACAGACCAACTTGCAGCAGGATTGTTAGAGCTTGGTATTAAACGAGGAGACAGAGTAGGAATATGGGGACCAAACTCCGTAGAATGGAGTCTGACACAGTATGCCACAGCTAGGGCTGGAATTATACTGGTATTTTATGTTACAAATTTTATTTAATTTCTTTAATAAAATATCATTTTCTTCAATGTACTCTGGAATAATAATTTGATTTAAAAGAAATGTGGAGTATACATCAATAAGACAACAAGAAGAGAAATAATAAAAAGACATAAAGAGGAAAAAACTGATAGTTTACAACAATAAACAGGTGTTTAACTCTAATCACATATGTTGCATTTTTTATATTGATGGTTTAAAAAAAAAATAAAAAAAAAAAAAATATACAAATTGTTTTTTCTAAGGTTTTTTATTTTGCTTGATGTAATTTACACTTTTCAAAAAAGAAATGGATACATGTTTGAAATTAAAATTTTAATATCATAAATTATTTATCATAGTATATATAGGTTATTAGAACCCTTGTCATAGGTTGAGAATAATAATAATCCACTAGCTTTATCATCAAAATTCTTATGAATATAGATGCTAATAATGAACATTTTGCATCAATTCAAAACTTCACTCATCAAATTTCTGTGGCGTAGCAAAGCCATTTTTAAGTGTACGCACGAACCTCGGCGAGGGATCTGAAGGCCCTCAGCGGCCCCAGGGCAGAGCACCTCCAGGTAGTGGTCGAAACTCCTGGAAGCTCACACGTTATCATGAAAAAGATACCGGTACGTACCGGCCATTTCTGTCATTCAAAATTCATCAATAGCAACATACTTGGTTGGTTGAGAACAAAACTTTACTACATACAGATGATTTCAGCTTCCCAGTTGTGCACTTTTCATTTCTATGTAGCAACATTCCTGTAGAACCTGCATATGAGTTTATATCTCCCAGTTGATACGTTATTTCAGATCTTGCATTTCCTATCATGATTTCCTTGAATGAGGTTGCTACGTACAAGGAAGCTATCAAACCAAGAGTTTCAATTGGTGAAGTTAAAAGCATCCCTTCGAAATTTTTTAAGATCGCTATCACAAGTTGGTTTCACAGATGACGACGGACATGTTCCATTGTTGTAACCGCAGTTCTGTCCTCTTTTCCTCGAATTTGACCTACCGAATTAAACTTATCACCAAGTGTTTACTTATATGAGCAACACGACGGGTGCCACAAGTTTTAATTTTGTTGTCAATTGATTGACTGGTTTACCCAACATCTCCTTTTGAACATATTCTAAAGCATCTGGTTTGGACATTTTTTTCTAAAACAAAGGACAATTAGATTCCAAATCAACACACTGAAATCAACATGAAAAAAATCCAAATCCAATACAAAAAGAGAGGCTAAATATACCAAAGGTATATTCAAACTCATCAGTTGAAAACAAACTGACATTGCCATTCAAAAGATGAAATACATCGAAAAGACAAACAGTACATAAAAGACAACATAGAAAACTAAAGACTAGGCAATACGAACCCCACCTAAAACCGGGAGTGAACTCAGGTGCTCCAGAAGGGTAAGCATATCCTGTTTATCATGTGGCACCCACCGTGTTGCTCATTTAGATAAACACTTGGTGATAAGTCTAATTCAGTAGATCAAATTCGAGGAAAAGAGGACGGAACTGCGGTTACAACAATGGAACATGTCCGTCGTCATCTGTGAAATAGTCAACCAACTCGTGATAGTGATCTTAAAATTTTTCGAAGGGATGCTTTCAACTTCACCACTTGAAACTCTTGGTTTGATAGCTTCCTTGTACGTAGCAACCTCATTCAAGGAAATCATGATAGGAAATGCAAGTTCTGAAATATCTTATCAACTGGGAGATATATACTCATATGCAGGTTCTACAGGAATGTTGCTACATAGAAATGAAAAGTGCACAACTTGGAAGCTGAAATCATCTGTATGTAGTAAAGTATTGTTCTCAACCAAGTATGTTGCTATTGATGAATTTTGAATGACAGAAATGGTATCTTTTTCATGATAACGTGTGAGCTTCCAGGAGTTTCGCCAACTACCCGGAGGTGCTCTGCCCTGGGGCCGTTGTCTGCCTTCAGATCCCTTGCCGAGGTTCAGGCGTACACTTAAAAACGGCTTTGCCAGCCACTTAATTTGGATCAAAATAGTACTCCCTCAAAAATTCATGTGCACGCCCTGGCGTTTTGACGTAAACGTAGCTACGCGCCTTTACTTACAAGTCCATTGAGGTTTTTTAGATAAACCTGTTTTGTAAGTCTGATAATGTTATACTTTCACACAGCACAATGGTCGACCATGCTATATCAGAACTTGGTCTTTTGTATTTTTGCTAAATTACATATGTTCAATTGAAAAGTGACAGCAATCTTTAAATGTGCATATTTCCTTTTAAATCATTCTTTCTTTTCAGGTTAATATTAACCCATTATACAGACCTGATGAACTACAGTATGCTTTAGAAAAGGTACTAAATTTTGAGTTAAGTTGCGATCAGAATAATAATGGTGATTGAAAAAAGTCATTACTTCGGAAACCATTCACGTGTTAAAAAAGTTGTCAATTCTATTTTGATTTTACTTAAGGTAGATAAACTGTATATACTGCCATCTTGGATTGAAAAATAGCAATTCACAATCAGCCTAGTTCTTTGCTTAAATCTGCAAATTTTAAGACATATTGACAATTAATGTGTGAAACTGTTTATTTGAATAAAGAAAAATAAGTGATTTATTGCATTATTTAGACTGTTTTAGCAAATACAAAATATTTGAGTTTGTTTGAATCAAATTTTTATTTTAGCTACTTTTAAAAGGGGAAATAACTCAAAGGGTAAAATTCTTATAAAGGATTGATAAAATTTTTTTCATTTTTATACGCCCGTTTACAGGACCTATTATGGTATACCGCTGTCTGTCCGTCCGTCCGTCCATCCGTACTCAACATGTCGGACAATAACTCAAAAACGCTTTAACCAATTTGCATGAAACTTTGGTGAATTGTTTATATCTATTAATGTGAGCTCCCTTTTTTATTTTTATAAATTTTAGATTTTATGTTTCCGAGTTGTGGGGTTTTATTCATTAAAAAAGGGGGATTTCCCAGTTTTCGGACAATTACTCAAAAAAGCTTTTGAGCAGTTTTTCATGAAACTTTGGTGACTGGTTTATATCTATTGAAAAAGCGATGGGCGTATCATGCTCGCATGGCACAGCTGTTTATTTACTTGAAGCAAGAAAACAAGTTCAGTGACACCATTTTTTCTTTTTAATTTTCTTAAAGCATATGATATAATGTATCTGCTCACATTTCATTTCAAAATTCTATCTCATAGATTTCTATTTATTCACAAAAAAGTATTTTTTCATGAATAATCTATACAAATTTGGGTAATTTTGCACGACTTGTAGCTTGAAAAATAGCACGGCGACCCATACTTTTAATTATATTTTTGAAAAAAAGCATGGTATGATCTACATTTTGGCAAATTATATGAAAATACTGATGGTCCACCTTAAAGCTATATACCTTGTAATTAGTTTTCCTTAATAATGTCTTAATGGATTTTTTGCTTCATTGACAGAATCTGGTACTGATGACAGATCTTTGACCGTCTCTGTTATATTTATTCACAACTTTTCTAGACTCAGGGCAGTTCAAAGTTTGACTTATTGTATAGACACTTACTATTTTACTATTGTTGAAGTTCTTGCCATGACCTCTAAACATCTTTTCGTGTTGGGTTGATGTCATATTGATGTATATATGAATTTTGAGAATAGAATGTTTCTTCTTAGATCAATATAATGTCATATCTTTAAATATGTATTTACAAAATAGTCACTATTTTATTCAATAGGTTGGATGTAAGGCTTTAATAATGGCAGAAGAGTGGAAAGGTCAAAATTATTATGACATTGTTTTCCAACTGGTGCCTGAATTAGCCAGGGCAGACAGTGATGATCACATTAAAAGTCACTTGTAGGTACCAGTAAAGGAGAGTTTACAATTTGAATTTATAAAATAAGAAAGTTAACATAATTGAGATTGATGAACTGTTTATTGGAGCAATATGCTTTTTTAGCCATTGATCATTACAGAAGTTAAAATGTCGTACCGCTACATAAATGTAACTTTTGATTATCTGGAAACTTTAAAATTATTGCATAAGTTATAATATATTATAAAAAAGATGTAGTTTGATAGCCAATGAGACAACTATTCACCAAAGACAAAAGAACAAGGATGTAAATTACAATAGTCCACTGTATGGCCTTTAACAATGAGCATAATCCTTATCTATAGTAAGCTATAAAGACCTTGAGATAGCAAAATGTGTAACAATTAAAATGGCAAAACATGATCATTTAAGCTCATAGCATTTACTGAAAAGCAATTATTCTAAGCAGTAATCAATGACAACCACTGCACTGTTGGCTCCTGGCTTGGGACAGACACATAAAGAGTGTAGCTGTGTTAATCGTGTTTGTGAGTACTCAACCCTCCCTCAGGCTAGGTACAGTGGTGTATCAGTACAACATTATAGAACAAACTATAAAAATAAGTTGAAAATGGTGTGACTCATCAGATCAGTATAAAGCACAAAAAACAACTAACAAAATAACAAAACTACTGATATAAGAATACTCAAAGCTACTTGAAGCTAGTTAAAATCCCAATTTCAACTGATCAATTGCCTGGATTAGAAACATACATTTTACAACTTTTGCATAAGGAAGTAGCTCATTATTATGAATAGGAAAACTAGTTGGAAGCGATATTCTGCCTTTCACATAGTTATTTCTTTCAATGTTTTTTTTCGCAGGTTGCCTGACCTGAAAAGAGTTATAATGATGGGGGATAAACAGTATCAGTAAGTGATTATAAGAACATTAATTGATACATGACATACAAGAATACTCCCATTTTGGAAAAGAATAATATTGCTGATCTTGATTTTGAAAGACACTATAATTCAAAAAACGGTGTAAATTGCATCTACAGAGTTGACCAATCAATTACTTACGATAGAGTCTTTGAACTTGTTTTTTGTATACAGATCATGTATTTCCACATATGCAAAGATAAATGCTATATGAAACAGTTGTGCATATATGAAATACAACTGAAAATATTCAAACAATCCACTTTGCAGTTATGGGCAACCATAATATAAACCAGAATGCATAATTTTTGCAGATTATTAAAGATTTTTGTTAATGGTGAAATTTTGTTGTGAATTATGTTATATCATTGACTATTTACTTGTCTAAACTCAGGTTGTTTTAGAGCTTGTTGTAATGTTTCAATGTTTGTTTGTCATTGGAAGTTATAAGTATAGTGAACTCCAGATGTTTAATAATTTTTGTTTACTTATATTATTACATGTTGCTTTTTCATTAATATGAACCCTTTATGTTTTTGTTGAAAAGTTTCTTGTCATCAAATTTGGCTGATAAAGTTAACAGTAATAGTTAATTCATACAGTTCCAATTTTCACTCATCTACTGAAACTGACTTAAAAATGCATCAATTCATGAATAGATCTACCTTAAAAAGAAAATCTAGCAAGTTACTCCATATATTTTAGTACATTGTACATGTAAATACATGATTCAGGATAAATGTGAGTAAAATTAAGGTATTTCTTCAGAGGAGCACTGAAATTCTCGGATGTAATGGAGGCTGCTACCAATAAACGTAGAACAGAAATATTAGATTTACAGTCCAAACTACAGTTTGATGACCCAATCAATATACAGTTTACATCTGTAAGTAATATTTATTTCTGATCATTTAACAATACACAAAAAAAGAACAGGAAAAATAGAACTTCCACAGTTTAGAACTATCAATTGTTTAGTATAACATGAAATAAAGCATCTTTGAAGGAAAAAAAAAACAATTATTTTATCTTTTACAGGGAACTACAGGAACACCCAAGGGAGCCACATTGTCACATCATAATATTATGAATAACAGCTATTTTACTGGACACATACTTGGATATCATGAAATGGTAATACAACATTAACTTGGGGAGAATAATGAAAACTACAAAAACAAATATGTACATTGATTTTATAATGGTATCATGTTTTTATGATGTGCAAATTAATTTTTCTTGCACAATTTACCTTTTCAAAGATGCAAGATTCTATGAACTTTCAAGAGGAAGTTGTAAACTTACTGAATATTCAGTTAGCTATAGGGATCTTAGAAATAGAATTTTGGTACAAAAAGCACTTGGTTACCTATAGCCCAATTATTATTCTTTAAATTAAAATATTTTATTCATAAATATTAAGTATAATATAATTTCCATGCACATAACATACACTATGTTTTATGATTTTAGGAAACTAGAATTTGTATACCAGTTCCTTTGTACCATTGTTTTGGTATGGTGGTAGGAAGTCTACAGATGGTGACACATGGATCCACATGTGTATTCCCCTCACCAGGATTTGATGCAGGGACTACTCTTCAGTCTGTCAGCAAGGAAAGGTTTGTCAGTGTATTATACAATAAGAAGGATGTTCATGAAAGAATCATGTAAAGTTTGCTCTTCAGATAATGATAAAATCTTCTAACCAGTTTTAAGATTGCAAATTTGCCCTCCGAAGACTAGTGTATTAGTGGAGGTTTCAAATCTTCATCTTATCTTTAAATCACCTTTATTTTGTCCAATATTACTTTTTATGCCCCACCTACGATAGTAGAGGGGCATTATATTTTTCGGTCTGTGCGTCCGTTCGTCAGTCCGTCCGTCTGTCACGCTTCAGGTAAAGTTTTTGGTCAAGGTAGTTTTTGATGAAGTTGAAGTCCAATCAACTTGAAACTTAGTACACATGTTCCCTATGATATGATCTTTCTAATTGTAATGCCAAATTAGAGTTTTGACCCCAATTTCATGGTCCACTGAACATAGAAAATGATAGTGCAAGTGGGGCATCCGTGTACTATGGATACATTCTTATTTCACCTAAAATACTGTGAAGAGAATTATGAATGACTTCCAATATATGTGGATGGTGGATGTTATGACACAAAAAAAACATTAATTTCAATTCAAGACAAAACACAAATTCTCAAAGTGTTTGTTAGTATTCACAAGTTTGAAACCAGAGCATAGAATCTAAGATTTCTCAAAACTAACAAGTTTTCACATTAGTTGTTTATCCTGTGAAAATATTTCCCATCCAGTTTACTGGAATTGTATTTTCCTATACACAATTCAGTTTAATATGACCAGTATGACATAATATATACTGCAACAAAGTTTAAGGAAAACAATAAGTTTTTCAGGGTAATTATTCAAAAAAGATAGTGCTTTACTTCTATGTGTTGTTAATTTGATTTTACATAGATATTTATATTTTTTAATGTCCTTGGCAAAAAACTTTTACAGTAGATCTTCTAGTATGTCCCTCGTCTCAAGTTTGACTACTCATTTCACTTTATAAAGATGAAAAAACCCTGTTATTGAATTCACTGAAAAATAATCTAGTCCCTAAATTTATATAATTTTCATTATTTGACATTCTATTCTAATGAAATAAAATTTATTTTCAGATGTACATCTCTGTATGGTGTTCCTACCATGTTTATAGATATGCTGAATCATCACGAATTTGACACATTTGATTTAAAATCACTTTACACAGGGGTCATGGCAGGGTCACCATGCCCTATAGAAACAATGAGACAAGTTATAAGCAAGATGAATATGCCATGCGTCACTGTAAGTACACTATTGTGAACTTATTTCTGCTAAATTATTTTCAGATGCAACGTTGTATATGGCACACAGACTATGCTCATTGAAATATTAAATCACACAAGATTTGGCATGTTTGTTTTGACATCTGTATTCTCTGGAATTATCAGAGGTAGCCCTTGTCCAAAAGAAATATTGAAACAAGTTATAAGCAAGTTGAATATTGGCTCATTAATTGTAAGTTATTTGAACCTTACCATTTTTAAACAGAAAGCAACATGAAGCATTAGTTACATGCTAGACTCATTGGTGATGGATGCACCATCTTGTATTATGTTAAGATTTTGTTCTTGGCTCGAGGAAGTCACAGAGAAAAGCCTTAGGGTCCAGCACTGTGTCTTGCAGCTGTGTAGAGTCGTTGGCATCAACAATTGTTTAAGTTTGTGGTTAGGTCAATTTCAAGAGAACTATTCAGGGTAAGTCCATGATATTTATTTTGAAACTGTTGCATAGTATAAGTTTATGTTAAGGACATCTCATCAGCCATGTTTACATGGTTTAAGTTTATGATAAGATCAATTTAAGAGGAACTACTAATGATGATAAATGATATTTGGTATGACCTTGCATTAGCAGTAATGATATGTCAAATAATAATCGGTACTGTTGTATCAGCATTAGCATATCTTATTGTATCAGCATTAGCATATCTTATTGTATCAGCATTAGCATATCTTATTGTATCAGCATTAGCATATCTTATTGTATCAGCATTAGCATATCTTATTTTATCAGCATTAGCATATCTTATTTTATCAGCATTAGCATACCTTATTTCCATTGGGAATATATGGCCCTATCTCTATCTCCTCAGTTTTGGTCAATTGAGTAAGAAACTGTTGCATAGTAAACTGATAAAAGTTTGTAACTAGGTAAGTTTACAGAGAAACACAAATTGGTCAGCAATGATACTATATTAGCATTAGCACATCTCATTTCAATTAAAAATTATTTGACGCTGCCCCCTTGTTCTTTTTCCATTGACTCGGAAACTTTTTCATACTTAACATGTTAAAGGTTTGCAATTTAAATTTCATACTATGGAAATAACAAACAGGCAAGGCATATCTCTGTTAAATCAGTTTATTTTAAAAATAGGATGTAAATGGAAAATTTTGTAAACAGCTTACAATACAGTTTTTGTCGAGCATGCGACTTTTGTCGCAGAAAGCTCGACATAGGGATAGTGATCAGGCGGCGGCGGTGGCGTTAGCTAACTTCTTAAAAGCTTTATATTTTAGAAGGTGGAAGATCTGGATGCTTCATACTTTGTATATGGATGCCTCATGTTACGAAGTTTCCGTCAGTCACATGTCCAATGTCCTTGACCTCATTTTCATGGTTCAGTGACTACTTGAAAAAAAAGTTAAGATTTTTTGTAATGTTAAATTCTCTCTTATTATAAGTAATAGGATAACTATATTTGGTATGTGCGTACCTTGCAAGGTCCTCATGCCCGTCAGACAGTTTTCACCTGACCTCTACCTCATTTTATGGATCAGTGAACAAGGTTAAGTTTTGGTGGTCAAGTCCATATCTCAGATACTATAAGCAATATGTCTAGTATATTCGGTGTATGGAAGGACTGTAAGGTGTACATGTCCAACTGGCAGGTGTACTTGACCTCATTTTCATGGTTCAGTGGTTATAGTTAAGTTTTTGTGTTTTGGTCTGTTTTTCTTATACTGTATGCAATAGGTCTACTATATTTGGTGTATGGAATGATTGTAAGGTTTACATGGGTAGCTGTCAGGTGTCATCTGACCTTGACCTCATTTTCATGGTTCAGTGGTCAAAGTTAAGTTTTTGAGTTTTGGTCTTTTTTTCTAATACTATATGTAATAGTTCAACTATATTTGGTGTATGGAAATATTTTATGATCTATATGTCAGTCACGCAGGTTTTATTTGACCTTGACCTCATTTTCAAGGTTCATTGCTCAGTGTTAAGTTTTTGTGTTTTGGTCTGTTTTTCTTATACTGTATGCAATAGGTCTACTATATTTGGTGTATGGAATGATTGTAAGGTGTACATGTCTAGCTGGCAGGTGTTATCTGACCTTGACCTCATTTTCATGGATCAGTGGTCAAAGTTAAGTTTGAGTTTTTGTCTTTTTTTCTAATACTATATGCAAAAGTTCAACTATATTTGTTGTATGGAAGAATTGTTAGCTGTACATGCCTGCCTAGCATGGTTCATCTTACCTTGACCTCATTTTCATGGTTCATTGGTCAATGTTTAGTTTACTTGGTTAATGTTAAGTTTATGTGACATTTGTAATAAAGCTTTATATTTAGGACTATCAACATAATATAAATGATTAGTAAAGAAGGCGAGACATTTCAGCGTGTGCACTCTTGTTTGTGAATGTTTTAAATTTTAGGATATGACCTTTAGATGCAAACTGGTTTGGTAATATTAACATAATTTTTTGCTACATTTGCTACATGACACTAGTTTATCATGTTTTGTATCATTGCCTTGTTCATGTTGTTCTCCTTAATTATTTTAAAATCATATAGTTCATGTCATTCAACACGGTAATATACCTTATTCTTTGTCATATAAGATTCTTATACTCTGGTGCTGCACATATTTTCCAAAGGGATATTTAAAAGTGAAAAACATAATTAAATGAATGAGATGCACGATATCATTATAGCTTCAATGTGATGCATTACTTCTGCTTATATGATAATGCCCTGCATTAAACACAAGCATTAAGGCTGCTTGTATTTAGTATTTCCACCACAACATATTTATTGTTGGTTTTTATTCTGCTTATCTTACTTATTAGAAAAACATTCAAATTATTTATATAGGCTGTTATATATTTGGGTTATATCTTTGCACGTATATTACATGTACAGTTATCGACATTGCATGTATGTTGATAAAAACAATTTAGAAAAACTCTATTTCTGATCTTATTTTACTTTCAGCAATTTATTGCTATAATTTTTACAGTGATTGCTGTTGTTGTCGGTAAGGGTTTAGGAATATTTTTAGTGGAAAAAAAGTTTAATGCCCCACATACAGTGGTAAGAAGCATGTTTTCCTTGTTCTGTGAATCTCCTTTTGTCTGTCCATTCTTCTGTCCATCCTGTAACAGGTTAAATTTTTGTTTAAGGTTGTTAACCATGAAGTTATGTTCACATTAACTTGAACCTAATACACATGTTCATTATGATATGGTTTTGACTCCAGAGTAGCAGTTCATTGAACATTGAATGTGATGGTGTCACACTTATTCTTGTTAATACTTATCTTTTAGTAAAAAGCATCATTAATTAATAAAACAAATACATTGCAACTTTAATTTATTGCTTATGATTTTAATACACATCTGATAAAATGTATTGATTTGGAAAAGAAGACTTTAAATCTTAACAATGTCAATAACATGTTTTTATACAATCGCAAAAATTAAAATTTTTTTGGTCGTATATTGGGATCACGTTGTCGTCGTAATCGTCGTCGTCAGCGTCGTCCGAAGACAGATGGTTTCCTGATAATAACTTTAGTATAAGTGAATAGAAATCAATAAAATTTTAACACAAGGTTTATAATCACAAAAGGAAGGTTGGGATTGATTTTGGGGGTTATGGTCCCAAAGGTTTAGGAATTAGGGGCCAAAAAAAGGGGCCCAAATAAGCATTTTTGCAGTTTCCAGACAATAACTTGTGTTTAAGTGTATGAATCTCTCTGAAATTATACAAGTTTCCATACAACAAAGGGATGGTTATGGGGGGTTATGGCTCAAACCATTTAGCAATAAGGGGCAAAAAAGGGGGAAAAACAAGGGTTTTTATAGTTAAAGGACAATTTAGACAATTTAAAAGCAGTGTAAGGGAGGTAATCCAATCCATTTAAAGAATACTGTTGTATATATGTTTGATTACCTCCCTTACACTGCTTGTAAATTATGTATTTAGAAATGATGATTGTCTTGAGATGATTAGCTGTAAATTTATTTTTAGAAGTTACTATTAATTAATATTAATTTTAACCATGACTGTATGTCATTTTATATTTTAATATTTTATGATGTATTTAAATGAGTAGTTATGGTTGCAAACTCTAATTTTTTTTGGGAGGGTTAATATTCAACAACAAACTGTATTGCACTAAAGCAAATAAAATAGGTAAATTCATTTTTGGGGGGGGGGGGGGGGGGGGCAATTCGCAACAGCATAGTGTATTGCACAGAAGCAAAAAATTGAATATAAATTCAAATCATATAACCAATTTTAAGTTCTTTGACTACAGTTATTCTGTGTCAGAAACCTATTATGTGTCAAATATTTATTATCATCTTTGATAGGTTTGCTATGGCACAACAGAAAACAGTCCTGTAACATATCAGAGCTATAGAGATGATATCTTAGAGAAGAAAGTTTCTACAGTAGGAAGACCACATCCTCATGTTGAGGTAAATATTTACATGCGAGTGGATAAATAATGTGTTCTTTTAGGGGAAAGCTATGATATATTCATTATACCCAGCTCCAAAGAAATGCAAGGTATACTGATAAACCCATCAATCACACTTTTTTCATGATGCATTTATTTTTGATAAAACAAAACAGCTAATTAATTCATTTGTTGTGATAGTTATGTTAAGATGAAAAAGGAATGTGTTAGAATAACCGCTACTGAAAAATAAACATGATGAAGTTAGGGTAGGGTTCTTTTTATATAAGGACATTCTCCTTACACATAGATTTGATTTTCAAGTTGCTAGCTCAACATGATGCCAAAAAGAATTAGAATATTTCTATGAGTAACAATTACTGTGGACTCATTATTGTTCGTTTGATACACATTTTATGTGGATTTGGTGGGTGTAGGTGAACCATGAACTTAAATTTTCCTCAAAGGACACATTTCATATCAGCTTGTATGCAGACTTTGGCAAAACAAGTACAAGTATTTACTTTGAAAATTGTAAAATCAGAATGTTTAATTTACAGGATCTAAAAATATTTTTTGTCGTTATGTGATCCAATAAAATCATATCATAGATAACAAAAATAGGTGGATGATAAAATATACCAGAAACATTTTACGCTCTTTAATACATTGTAAAGGTAGACATTTCATTGGCTATTTTTAGACGAAAATTGTAGATGAAAATGGAAACATTTTACCAGTAGGAGAATCAGGAGAGCTGTGTACCAGAGGTTACATGACTATGCTGGAGTATTGGAATGATCCTACTAAAACCAATGAAGTTATTAAATCAGATAGATGGTATTATACAGGGTATGTAATACAAGTGTTGTTTTTTTTTTTTATTTTTAAAGTATTCAAGCAGGAAAATGAAGTTGATCAAATGCTAGTTACATTTTCATGCTTTCAATAATAATAATTTAACGTTCTTTGAGTTATTGTACGTACATGTATTATAAACCAGTTAGGTTGTTTATACCACTATAAGTCATTAAAGCCATTATTAAATTAAAACTACAAATGATATTAAAAATAAAGGGCATACTTTATGTATTACCAACATCATTGTTAGAAGAGCTTCAAAAATGTGTATACTATGGCAGATGTTTTGCAATATGCAACACATCACATATATATAGATTCCACCACTGCATCAAGTGTGTTACAATATTTCTCTAATCGAGACAGTTAAATTTTAAAATTTAAAGTGCGAGGCTTGCCGAGCTTTTTAAATAATTGAAATTAAACTTGAGAGTGCAGAAATATCATAATACACGAGTTATAGTGGTGGAACCTGTTTGTCTAATGATTCTTAGAAGATATCTAAACAAAATTTATCCTTCCTTTTCAAAGATTTGCAGAAAGTTGTGTTCTTTATTTGTGACGTCAGAGAGACATGGTCGTCTTCTTTCTTGACGTCACAATAGGAAATTCATAAGAAACCAAGAAAAATTTGATGTCATAATTAAATTTTGACCAATCATTTGCGGAGAACAAAGTTTTCTGTAGAGATGAGAAATATTTTTCTCAACCGATCGACAAATGTGAAAAAAGCATGAAAATTAAGAAAATGGCTTTTCGTTTGACTGATTGATTGAATATTCTGTTTTTTACATCAAGTGGCCTATAATACTGTTGCTGAAATGAAAAACTACAAAACACAACACAGAAAACATAAGACAGAGCAACACAAACTTAACCAAAAATCAAGGATAATCTCAGGTGCTCTAGATGGGTACACAGATCCTGTTCTATTAGTGGTAACTCTTGTGTTGCTTGTGGCTCACTTTGCTCAAATAAGCAACTTAGAACCTATCCATACACTACATTTGTAAAAAAAAAGTGGCTGTGACAGGTTAGAACTATGGAAGACAATTTCAAGCTTAATATTGTGATTTCAGTTGTTGGTTTTATCAAACTAATTGGACCATTGTAAATTTGTACAATTTGTTATTTTCTGTTTTTAACAGTTCAGGACAAAGTGATGGAGATTTTTTTCATACAACTTTATTCTTAATATTTATTGTTTTGACAGAGATATTGGTGAAATGGATGAGGATGGATTTTGTAGAATTGTTGGGCGTATCAAAGACATGATTATCAGAGGTGGTGAAAATATTTATCCATTAGAATTAGAACAGATTTTATATAAGCATCCCGATGTTAAAGATGTACAGGTTAGTAACAGCTAAAGGGTTTAAACAATAAAAGTTTCTCTTAGAAAATTTATGGTAAAATATTATTAGATTATTACATGGCATTTTTCATATCAGATGTATAATCAGCCCAAAGTTAATTATCAGCCCAAGAGCCGAGGTCTGATAATACATCTGATATGAAAAATGACATGTTATGATCTTTTTATCATATGCTTCAACAGATACATATATACTGGTTCTCAATTGGAAGTTCAAAAAGTGAAAAGTTTATGGACGACGGACGCCAAATGTAATACATCCAATATGAAATATTTCTATCATATGCCTCAACAGAGGAAAAAAAACAACCGTATAATATATTTTTATATTGACGATAAATGAAAATTTAACAAAACATAATGAACACTGTTTGGAAAAGTCAACATTTGTAAAGTAACTTTCTAAATTATGCTGGAAGCTTTGAAAAATGCATTTATTGTATTATTTATTTTTTTTTGCATTTTACATAATGTATTTTCCTGTTTCCTAATAATTGTTTTGTACCCTACATTATTATGTCCTTTTCACTGAAAATGTACCATTGAGGTGTATTTTCTGGAATTGATGAGTAACACCTGAATGCCATGTGATAACTTTACAGAAAGGCATGTGAAAATAGTCGGAAGCATGTGATAAATTTTTCATATCAGCCCGCTAAACACCATTTCAGAAAATATGGAATTCACGTAAATTTAATGCTATTATCATACTGTAAATATTATAAGTTATTTATTCTAAGTATATGATAATAAGAGATTATAACATGTCCTCTTCCATATCGGCCCTGGTATCCTCCCAAGACTCCCATATGATATGGGTTGAGGGCTGATACCAGGACCCGTATGGAAAAGGACATGTTATAATCTATTTATCACATATTATACAAATGATTAAAGAAGAAGATACAATTTTATCATTCCGTCTGGCAAGGTCCGCCACTGAAATAACATCATTATGAAGAAGCTCCCCAAACATTCAAAACTATAGTCCTTAAATATTATTATTATCAATGTCAGATTTTCTTTAAGTATTTGTGTTTTTTAATTCTTTAACAAATTCCACTGTCATTTCTATCGACGTTTCTTATCTGTCTTTCATTGTTGTTAGGAGGAATGTTATCGCATATTTGTAGCATTCTAGTCATATTCCTGCCCGGGGCAAATAACCAGTTATTGTGCCCTGTTTTGACGTCATAAGCCTTCCTAACAACAGTAACGTCATAAGCCTTCCTAACAACAGTAACGTCATAACAGGGCACAATAACAGGTTATTTGCCCCGGGTATGAATATGACTAGGGCAAATCTGTGGTTATTGCATATGCAAAATCCAATGTTTTCTTAACAAATATGTGATAATAGTCTCTTACACTATGGAATGACCAATATTGACCATTCATATTCATAACTTTTGTATAACCTCAACAATACCACAGCGATGAGACTTTGACATGCTTTTCCTGTAACTTTGGCATTAATAATTTGGTACGTTTAGTGATTAGATCAGTTTCATTGGGAACCACTAGTGATAAGTCAATGAGATTTGTTATTCAGTTATATTAGCAAAGTCCTAATTCATTTCTAATAAGAATTTTGGCCCTGTCAACCCAGTCATGGTCTATGTACTGAATTTTTACATAGTTTACATTTAAAAGGATGGAATTTGATCAGTTTAGGGGGAATAACAAATGATGTTTTGTTAAGGACTTGTAATAACATTGGCACATCTCAATTCCATGGAGATTTTTTTGGACCTCTCTATCTGTCATGGTCAATTGTCTTCAAAACTGTTGCATAGTTTACAAGTAAAAATTTGTAATTAGGTCAGGTTAAGGGCAAACACTTATAGTAAATAAATGATATTTTGTAGGCAGTTGTACTAGCATTGGTATATATCAGTACTATGGTGATCATTTGGCCTCGACACCTCAGTCATGGCTAATTGACTGAAAGTTTTGCATAGTTTACAAAGTTATGTGTTGCTATTAGTATTATACTGTCAAATTCTAATATGACGACCTTTATATCGTTAACCAGTATAATCAAAATATATCTACTTTTAGCACATACACATTAATACACAAAATTGGCTGTTCTGTGTTACACCCATTTTATATATATGACCAGGTAAACTAAATTTTTTACAGTAAAACCCACATTTCACATGGGCCAAGCTTGAAATACAATACGGTTATTTCTATTTTAATGCAAAATAAACAATTCAGTCCATTTCAGTTATTATTTCAATGTAAAATTTCATAAAATGAAAATTCTGCGAAATGATGTTATCGTCTTTGGCAACTATAAACAAGGTGACATCATATGTATGCTTCAGGCATCAAATGTATACACTGGGAGTTTTCAGGCTTCTTGTACACCTCAGAATGTAATAAATTAGACAAAAAGAACAGTTTTAGATGAAAAATGTTAGTTTTTTTATTTATTATTGAATAATATGATAATTATCAATATAATTATACTGGGGGTAAAATGGAACAGCAAAAAGAGAATCATGTGTATAGGGCTTTCACAGTTGACAAAATTACTGTATTTGTTCTATTACAATCGAAATTATTCATGGTAGCAGTAGATTTCTTTTCATTATATGATGGGGTGGGCATTTATAATCGATTATTTTATCTGGTGCTGTCAACGTATATTTGTTCCTAATAATATTTATTCCTGAGGGAAACAATATTATGATAATATATGTGCTGAGGAAATTCTGTCATGGAATACTTTTTCCATCTGTATTATATTTGTTCCACTGATATTAGGAACTTATGTTATATGTTGATTAGTATAACAAATGTTACTATTAAGCTGATGATTTGTTTACACCTGATTGATTATTATCTAAATCAAAACAGCGTTTTACATGCTGATTATATAATTATTATGTAATTTGAAAAGTGTTAATGAGTTAGATATATTCACCTGTACACAATACCTGAATGTACAAACAAACATGGAGGCTGATGAATATGAAAAAATATTTATGTTCCTTAATGATGGATCATATGTTGAAGGTAAGTAAATATGTTAACAAGTTCAGCTGTGAAATATAAATGTAAATTCTAATGAGACAAATATCATTTATATGTAAAATATGCATGCCAGTAATTGTGGATAATTTGAAATGATTATTTAATGTCAGCACGGGAACAATTATTTCCTATATTCATTCATGATACCTGTTCTTTTACTAGTATTATTTCTACTATAGTTATATCAGAATAATAATTTTACATACCAACTTACCATTCCGGCATTCGTAATAGAATAGATAGAACATAATAATATTTTTGGGTCGGAATAGATATTATATAATACTTTTTCCAATCGGAATAAATATTACATAATACTTTTTACAATCGGAATAGATATTACAATATACTTTTTTCATTCAGAATAGATATTTCATGATATTTATTCCTTTTAGAATAGATATTACATGATAATTTTTCCATTTGGAATAGACATTACATACTACTTTTTCCTTTTGGAATAGATATTACATAATATTTTTTCCATTCGGAATAGATATTACATGATACTTTTTCCTTTTGGAATATATATATTACATAATGTATTTTTTTTCATTAGGAATAGATATTACATAATACTTTTACCATGCCATAATAACACTTTGAAAAGGGTTTAACTTGCAAAAAAAAAAGAATATTTTCGGGTCGGAATAGATATTACATAATACTTTTTTACAATCTGAATAACTATTACATAACACTTTTTCCATTCGGAATAGATATTACAATAGACTTTTTCCATTCAGAATAGATATTACATAATATTTTTTCCATTTGGAATAGATATTTCATAATACGTGTTTCTTTTGGAATAGATATTACATAATACTTTTACCATGCCATAATAATACTTTGAAAAGGCTTTAACTTGCAAAAAAAAAAAGAATATTATCGGGTTGGAATAGATATTACATAATACTTTTTTTTACAATCGGAATGAATATTACATAATACTTTTTCCATTCGGAATAGATATTACAATATACTTTTTCCATTCAGAATAGATATTACATAATATTTTTTCCATTTGGAATAGATATTTCATAATACGTTTTTCTTTTGGAATAGATATTACATATTATTATACCTTACATGTATTATAAACAGTTGATTTGGGTAACATGTTATCACGTGACGTAATAATTCAGTCAATTTTCATTTAGTTGCAAGGAAGAACAAACAATCAATTAAACATATTTCAAAAAAATGTTTTATGAAACATTTCAATAAATTAAGGACCCTTAAAACACTTTATAGCCTTGAAAATTTTTAAAAAGAGCAAAAATACTGAATCCTTGTTTTCTTTTCATTGTGTAGGCATGAATGAAAATGATAAAAGGAGAATTCAGAAACGTACCGAGATGTTTGTAATCACAGAAGGAAAATTATATTATAAAGGTGGAAAATCTAACAAGGGAGAAAATAAATTAGTTATTGCCAGAGATCAAAAATCGTCTTATTGAAGCTTTGTCATATTGATAATGGATGCCATATGGGTATGGAGAAAACTTTTTACAAGTTATCAGAACGCTATTACTGGAAGGGCATGTCTAGTGATCTTAAGGATTACATTCAAAGATGTCAAAAATGTCAACAAACAAATAAAAAGGTCAAAACAACACCAACAGAGTTACAGCCTGTGCCTATTCCAAAATCAACCTGGAAGAAAATTGGAATTGATCTAATCGGCCCTTATACAAATAGTGAGGGGGAGCCAATATCAACCGACGGCTATCGTTATATTCTCACGGTTATCGATTACTTTTCCAACTATGTAGAAGTTTTTCCGCTTAAAAGGAAACAAGCATCTGAGGTCAGTGGTAGATTGTATGATTTATTTTGTAGACAAGGTGTTCCTCTTGAACTGGTCAGTGACAACAGGGGTGAATTTAATTCGAGGTTAACTGCTTCTTTGCAGGAACAGTATGGATATAAACACATCCTTATAACTCCTTACCATCCACAATCTAACGGAAGATGTGAGCGATACAATCAAACATTTAAGTCAATGTTAAATAAAACTGTTGAGGAAAAGCCAGTGAATGGGAAAAATTTGTACAAAAATGTGCCTTTGCCTACAATACCTCTAAGCAAGCAAGTACCAAGTATTCACCATTTTACCATATGTATTGGAGAAATACAATTATTCCAAATGAAAATCAGTTTGGCAACACAGTCAATACGTTTGAATCATTCAAAGAAATTACCTCTGATGAAATTGCAATAGTAGCTGAAACTATGACTACTATTCAAAAAGAAATAGTTGATGAGGTTACCAATAATGTATCCAGACAACAAGAGAGGCAGAAAATACAATTCGACAAAAAGCACAATGTTGTGAACAGTGCATTTAAAAAGGGAGATGTTGTTTTGGTAAAAAATATGAAAAAGAAGAAGACATTGGGAATGGCTAGATGGTTAGGACCATACATAATTAGTGGCATACCAAAACTAGGGACTATCACCTTTATTGATAGCAATGATAAAATTATTGGCAAATACCAGCAAAATAATATCAAGAGGTACAATCCTCCTGAGGAAAATAGTACAACGAATGAGAAATCTGACCATGAAGAAGTACATGGAGATGACATATATGACATAAATGATGAAAACAATAATATTGAAAATGATCTGGGTGACTATTTTTATAACTCAATCATCATATATGAATGAAATTAACATGATTAATGAGAATACGTTTGATATTGGCATAGAAGATTTGATTATGCCATCACCTTCACCAATAAAGGATACTGATAATAAACAAATCGAAACTGATGAAGAGAAAGATTCCGGCCATGTATGCAGACCAAAGAGAAAAGTTATTGAGAGGAGAAATAGCATTTATGAATATTTCCCTGTACTTAAAAAATCCAAATCACAACAATTTGTTTGCTTGTAAAATGTGCATCAATTTAGTACTGATTTGTATTTATGTTATTATTAAAGCAATTTACCCGTAATTTCTGATTACTTTCATTTTAATGAATGACATGTCAAATTGTCAAAATGATAAAAGTCAATTGTTATACCAGTCATAGGATAAAACTTCCAGCATAATATTTATTCCAAAGATACTTAATTATGTAACAAAACTTCCTACTGGAATTTATTTTATGTGATAAAAAGGCCGAGGCATCGGTCCTTTTATTATGCTTATGGAATATATATCACATAACATTAATTCCAGTTGGAATTTTTGTTACTTAATAAATTATCTTTGGAATAAATATTATGGTGGAACTTCTATTCTGTGACAATGCAATAACCCATGATTAATTGAAAACAAATCTATGGCTGCCATGAATTATTTCTTATATAACATATAGGCAAGAAATATAAGGACACTTGAAAATGAATATGTGTTTAAGCACTGCTGTTTACTTGAATCATTTCAGACTTGATAAATGTGTTTACACCTGTTTCATTTACTTTGAATGAAGTATTAAGTTAAATATTGGAATGAATTTAAGATAACATGGCATTGACTGATACTTAAGGTTAATGATGTATACAATTTTTGACACAAGTAAAAAAAAATATATTTTTTTTCTTATGATTTAGTTGTTGCATAAGTCCCTGTCATAAATTGGGCCACCCTTAACAAATTCTTTGTTTGATGTTGCCTACCCATGCCTTGTTGGGTTGGGAAATCGAAGGTAGGTAGGGATTTTTTTTTTTTTTTTGGCCAACAACATAATTTACATATTTTAGACAAGAAAAAGGTGTTAGAGCATGAAAAAATATTTGAAACGATTCATGTCATAAAATTTTTCAGGTAGGCTGCTTTTTAGGTGGGAAGGTAGGCAACTTTAAACAATCTAAATTTTATTTTTGTAGTATCTACAATTGTGGTACAGTTTGATATCATTTTTCTTTTCTAATAGGTAGTAGGTATACCAGATGAACGATTAGGAGAGGATATATTTGCTTTTATAAAGTTAAAGGATGGTCATTCATGTTCAGAAGAGGATATAATGAAGTATTGTAAAGAAAAGGTACTGTAGGAATATCGCTTATAATATAAAAATAAGAAGATGTGGTATGATTGCCAATGAGACAACTCTCCACCAGAGACCAAATGGGTTTAATCACCAACAATAAATCAATCACTTCAGGAATCCTTTTGTAAATGGGACAATATTGTAGAAGGTAAACAGATAAAAAACATGAAGTTTTTTTGCCCCCGCTGTAGCGGAGGGGCATTAAGTTTTACACTTGTCCATCAGTACGTCCGTATGTCCCCAAATTGGTTTCTGTTCTCTTACTTTAGTTTTCCTCAACCAAATGATATGAAACTTATACACAAGTACCATCTGTGTCCCATGGACACATTCCCAATTTATTTTTCTTAATGTTGACATTGTTATACCTATATATTCACAGATGGCTCGATATAAAATTCCAAGATTTGTGAGATTTGTGACAGACTTTCCACTTACAGTAACAGGCAAAGTACAGAAATTTAAGTTACAGGAAATAGCAGAACAAGATTTACAAAGTTGATGGATGTGTCAAAACATGAAAAAGTCAATCATAAATGATGGATGTGTCAAAACATGAAAAAGTCAATCATAAATGATGAGTGAATTATAAGCTTATAAAATTTATTGTAATGCCTTAAATATAAAAGTATTATAAACAGCTTGATTTGTGACAGAATTCCAGCTTACAGTAACCGGCAAAGTGTAGACATTTAAGTTACGATATATACAAGAACATGATTATGTGTATTCAAGTATAACTAAATTGAAATGTTAAAAACATGAAAAGTGGATCCTCAATATTGGTGATAACCTTAAAAAAACATATGTTATGCCTTAAATAGTAGAGATGGTTTGATGAAAAGATTATCTCTTAAGGTAATTCATGTGATTCATCCATCTGATTTGTAGAAAGGAATGAATCATGTTACTATTTAGTATTTTAAGTAGGGCCCCGTCTTCAAAATTTTGCATTGCATGGCTATACAATTGAATACCAGAATGTATTGACATGTGATTTCTTCAATAATAAGCCAAAAAACTCACATTTTGCACCTAGAAATCTTCTTTTTATCAAGTTTTATTACATTCTGAAGCGGACAAGAAGCCAGAAAACCTCTGGTGTTTTTGTTTGATGCCGGAAGCATACCTATGACGTCACCTAGTTTAGGCGCCAAAGAAGATAACATCATTTCGCTGAAGTTTCGTTTAATGAATATTTTACACTGACTAAACTTGAATGATTTGTTTATTTTGCATTAGAAAAGAGATAACTGTATTATATTTGAAGCGTTGTGGAGGTCCATTGGAAGATTTACTGTCGCAAATATCCGTTTACCTGTCTCCGCTACGCGTCGCCAGGTAAACTAAATTTGCGACAGTAAAACTACCGATGGACGTCCGCAAAGCTTCAAATACAATACAGTTATGTCTAAAATGATCTGTCACAATATTGTAATACAGCCATGAAAAGGTTTAAGATTTTTATGCCCCCGCTGTAGCGGAGGGGGCATTAAGTTTTACCTTTGTCCGTCTGTACGTCCGTACTTACGTCCTAAAATTGGTTTCTGTTCTCTAACTTTAGTTTGCCTCAACCAAATGGTATGAAACTTATACACAATGCTAATTACCACAAAACACAGATCAAGTTTAAATTTTGGTGGCATCACTTTAACCGTTCTAGAGTTATGCCCCTTTACAAATGGAAAAATTGCTAAATTTTTTGTTTCCATTCTCTTACTTGAGTTTGCCTCAACCAAATGTTATGAAACTTATACACAATGCTTATTACCACAAAACACAGATCAAATTTGAATTTTGGTGGCGTCACTTCTGCCGTTCTAGAGTTATGCCCCTCTACAAATGGAAAAATTGCTGAATTTTTTCGTTTCCATTCTCTTACTTTAGTTTGCCTCAACCAAATGTTATGAAACTTATACACAATTCTTATTACCACAAAACACAGATCAAGTTCGAATTTTGGTGGCGTCACTTTTGCTGTTCTAGAGTTATGCCCCTCTACAAAAGGAAAAATTGCTGAATTTTTTGTTTCTGTTCTCTTACTTTAGTTTGCCTCAACCAAATGTTATGAAACGTATACACAATGCTTATTGCCACAAAACTCAGATCAAGTACAAATTTGGGTAGCTTCTCTTTTACAGTTAAAGTTATATCCCTTTATAACATTATATGCAAGAGGGGGCATAATCTGTGTCCCATGGACACATTCCCCATTTATTTTTTATTATTATAATTTTGTTTATGTATATTCTCAAAATATATTTTTTAATTTGTTGTAACATTTAGGGTGTCTTGATTCTGTTCAACAATCTATTTTATGCATATTTTATGCTATCAGGTTTTTTTTATTTTATAAGAACTTTGGTTTACATGATATAATTGTCTTGTTTAAAGAAAAAGCAATAGTTCAAAGGAGATGGTCCCTGGATGCAATACGTAGGCCCTATATCAATATTTGTAATTCTCTATCATTTGTAAAATGTTGGCTTTTCATTTTTACTCCATGACCAATGCAAATCAATGATCTAAAGTTGATGACATCATTTTGATTTGAATTTTATAACTATGTTTTTGAAATCGAAAACTATTATAAGTCTGTAATTGGTTTTCGAATATGGTATGGCATTATATATTTATGACAATATAAGTGAAAATAAATCTACATTTCAAGGAATTATTTTTCATATATGTATATATCAAAATATTTTTGGATTTTCATAGTCATTATTGCTCCTACTCCTTTAAGCAGTGCATTCATATGCACATGATTTAATTAATTATATATAATCTTAGACTATCCTTCATTATAAATTATTCAATTATTTGGGATCCACATCAAAAACAGCAAATTTCACAAATTGAAAAAGTCCGGAGAAGAGCAGCGTGCTTCTCATGCAACCGCTTCCATAACACCAGCTCAGTTACTGAAATGATGACAGACTTAAATTGGTACCCACTTGAAATTAGGCGTTTACGATACAGACTTGTCTTCTTCTACAAAATTATACATGAAATTGTTGCAGTCCCTACATATAACCTTTTGATCCCACTAGACAATAGAACTAGACATAACAATCCACACTCATTTAGGCAAATACAAACATCTAAAGACAGTTATAAATATTCATTTTATCCACGAACAGTTATAGATTGGAATCTTCTGCCACAACAAATAGTATCATGCAGTACAGTAACAGGGATTCAAGAGTATGATCTCAGAATTCTGCTCTCATCCCCATTTTCTATCCCTAACTATTTTGTTATCAAATGTATATAGTTTTATCTAAATGAAATTTTTTAAATGCACATACATTATTTTGATTTTTTGATTTTGTTTTTCTTTTTATTTTTCTTGCTACAATGTAAATTATAAAATTTTATAGTCGACGCCCCGCGAATAATCTTCAATAATTGAAGGATCGCTAGAAACTTAAAGAAGAAGAAATTCAACAATTAAGCAGTGCATTCATATGCACATGATTTAATTAATTATATATAATCTTAGACTATCCTTCATTATAAATTCAACAATTAAAACCATGTTAAGTGGTAACTGAGAATAGCTTTATTCAATCTTTACACAGTGTTTGCTTCCTTAAAGACAAACTACTATAAATTTTGACATTTTTAAAATTGTAGTTCCCAAGATTTATGTGTCTTGCCCAAAGTAAAGTTTTCTTTCATCTAATCCCCCTTTAATTTCATAACAATCAAACATCTGGTAAAGCTACCTTCTTTTCATTTCTTTTCAATTTGTTAAGTTTGAAATGAAGGAGACAGACATATCATGCACTAATGATGATGCTGTTAAATTATGATTTACAATGTAACAGGGAGTATTAAAAACACTGCACACATACAAAATAGGTCTTTTGCAGGTATCAGCAGGTCCTATGTCCCTACCTCATATAGAAAATATATAAGAAACGTTTATTGAATAATTACACCTTATGTAAGAATCCTGGGTTTTGATTGGTTGATAGCCAGTGTATTTTTCACCAATTTACTTTTATCAAATGAATATCGTTCATTTTTAAACATCGCCGGGGTATATGCAAAAAGGATATGCCTTTTTTACCCTCTCTGCCATGGTATTTGCCAAAAAATACTCGGGTTGTTGTCTCTTTGACACATTTCCCATTTCCATTCTCAATTTTATCTATCCGACTGGACGCTTGTAATGTCACGATCATCAATGCGTTTTGTACGTTAATATTCAGTGTAATCAAACAGATATAGCATGTTCTTGAGGGGTATTTGCGAAAAATGCTTGAGAATGAATTTCCCTCGCCTTACGGCTCGCAAAATTTAACATTCTCTCGACTGGTATTTTTCGCAAATGCCCCTCCTTAACATGATATATCTGTTCAAAATACCTGACACAATGGTTAGAAATAATTTTTATCTTTGTATGGTAGTAGGATAATCAATATTAATTCCTCTATTTTTGATGATTTATTTGTATATTTTACATATTTTTACAATTTTATATTTAATATTTTTATATTTGATATATTTATATATGGAGAAAAGTATATGAATGTTATATGTATTTGTTAGAATTGTAATACTACACACATATTTGATATACGAATTAAAAAATTTCTTGAAATCTATGAATCCTTTACCAGCTGGAGAAATCCTTGTTTTTATGCCCCCGCCGTAGAAGAGGGGGCATAAAGTTTTATCCTTGTACGTCTGTACGTCCCAAAATTGGTTTCCGTTCTCTAACTTAAGTTTGCCTCAACCAAATGTTATGAAACTTATACACAATGCTTATTACCACAAAACACAGATCAAGTTTGAATTTTGGTGGCGTCACTTTAACCGTTCTGGAGTTATGCCCTTTATAAATGGAAAAATTGCAAATTTTTAGTTTCCTTTCTCTAACTTGTTTATGTATAAATTAAAAGCAATATGTCCATGCAGATTCTTTATTTTTAAAGGAAGAATCTTCCTCTTTTAAGTGAATTAAATTGATTTCAGAGATAAAAAGACAAGGACTTTTTGCATCTACAAATCATAAGTCCATCTTTAAAAAATACAGCACAAACAGAGACTTGTCATCAGACATTTCATTTCACTGTGACCACAATGCTCCTAAATATTTTGGGTTTAACACCACAACATTCCTGAATGTATTCATGGTATTGGGTTTTATTGAATGGAGACATATTATCATTTGTGTCACAAACCAAGACAGTCATTCACTGTTTTCTTAAAAAAAAATCATTTAAATAAATATATATATATAACAGCTGTTTTATTTGATATACCTAAATGTCCAAATGAGCTATTGCCATCACTTTACGTCTGTTGTTGTAAACTTTTTCAAAGATCTTATACTCTGAAACTACTCAACCAATTTCAATCAAACTTGGGCATGTTGGGGTGAAGGATCCTTATGGTATCTAGTATAAAGTTTGTGTTTTTTATTATGCCCCCGCCGTAGTGGTGGGGGCATTAAGTTTTACCCTTGTCCGTCTGTACGTATGTCAGTCCGTACGTCCAAAAATTGGTTTCCGTTCTCTAACTTGAGTTTGTCTCAACCAAATGTTATGAAACTTATACACAATGCTTATTACCACAAAACACAGATCAAGTTAGTATTTTGGTGGCGTCACTTTAACCGTTCTAGAGTTATGCCCCTTTATACATTTGTAAATGGAAAAATTGCAAAATTTTTAGTTTCCGTTCTCTAACTTCAGTCTGCCTCAACCAAATATTATGAAACTTATACACAATGCTTATTACCACAAAACACTGATCAAGTTTGAATTTTGGTGGTGTCACTTTAACCGTTCTAGAGTTATGCCCCTTTATAAATGGAAAAATTGCAAATTTTTAGTTTCCTTTCTCTAACTTGTTTATGTATAAATTAAAAGCAATATGTCCATGCAGATTCTTTATTTTTAAAGGAAGAATCTTCCTCTTTTAAGTGAATTAAGAGTAAAAAGAGTCTTTATAATGAAAAAACTGAGATTTGGGGTATATGTCAATAAGACAGCAACTCAGCAACACAAAAGATATCTATAGAGGTTAACATACAGTCTTCAACCATTGTCAGTTTAGCTCACCTGGCCCAAAGGGCCAAGTGAGCTTTCCATCACTTGGCGTACGTCGTCTGTCGTCCGTTAACTTTTACAAAAATCTTCTCCTCTGAAACTACTGGGCCAAATTTAACCAAACTTGGCCACAATCATCACTAGGGTATCTAGTTAAAAAAATGTGTCTGATGACCCCGCCCACCAATCAAGATGGCTGACATGGCTAAAATAGTACATAGGGGTTAAATGCAGTTTTTGGCTTATATCTCTGAAGCTAAAGCATTAAGAGCAAATTTGACAACAGGTAAAAATGTTCATCAGGTTAAGATCTATCTGCCCTGAAATTTTCAGATGAATCAGACAACCTGTTGTTGGGTTGCTGCCCCTGAATTAGTAATTTTAAGGAAATTTTGCAGTCTTTGGTTATTATCTTGAATATTATTATAGATACAGATAAACTATAAACAGCAATAATGTTCGGCAAAGTAAGATCTACAAATAAGTCAAACATGACCAAAATGGTCGATTGACCCCTTTAAGGAGTTATTGCCCTTTATAGTCAATTTTTAACAATTTTTTGTAAATTTTTGTAATCTTTTACAAAAATCTTCTATTCTGAAACTACTCGGCCAAATTTAACCAAACTTGGCCACAATCATAACTAGGGTATCTAGTTTCAAAAATGTGTCCGATGACCCCGCCCGCCCAACAATCAAGATGGCCGACATGGCTAAAATAGTACATAGGGGTAAAATGCAGTTTTTGGCTTATATCTCTGAAACTAAAGCGTTTAGAGCAAATTTGACAACGGGTCAAATTTTTCATCAGGTTAAGATCTATCTGTCATTGTTGGGTTGCTGCCCCTGTATTAGTAATTTTAAGGATATTTTTCAGTTTTTTGTTATTATCTTGAATATTATTATAGATAGAGCTAAACTGTATACAGCAATAATGTTCAGCAAAGGTAGGTCTACAAATAAGTGAACATGACCAATATGGTCAATTGACCCAATAAGGAGTTATTGCCCTTTAAAGTCAAATTTAACAATTATTCATAAATTTTTGTAATCTTTTACAAAAATCTTCTCTCCTGAAACAACTGAGACAAATTTAACCAAACTTGGCCACAATCATCACTAGGGTATATAGTTTTAAAAATGTGTCCGATGACCCTGCCTGCCAACCAACATGTCAGACATGGCTAAACATAGAACTTGGGGGGAAAATGCAGTTTTTGACATATCTCTGAAACTAAAGCAAATGTATAACGGTTGCATTATTTCATGCATCAATTGTAAATTAAAATATCAGGTGAGCGACACAGGCTCCTTTGAGCCTCTAGTTAAGTAAAGTTCTGACTGGTATTATAAAAGATAAAGAGATTTAGTATGATTGCCAATAAGACAATTATCCACTAGAGTCCAAATGAGATGGATGTAATAAACTACAGGTTGCTGTAAGGGCTTCAACAATGAGCATAAACCCATACTTTGTAGTCTGCTATAAAATGCCTGGACATGACAAAATGTAAATGTTCCAAAAACAACCACCTGATTTGTGACAGCAGTAAAGGAAAAACAAATATTGTAAATTCAGAAATTATTATGAAATTTTTATGATTGCAAAAATTGGGACAAGGCAGGTATTTCAAAAATAAGAACATTTGCTTGCATTATTTGTATATAGCATTTCCTGATGATGAATGGCTGTTTAATTTTCAACTGCTAATTAAATGCATATTCAGGATGAGAAAATTTTAATATAATATGAATATTTATCCTGCTTTATACTAGACTGACACACTGAGCAGTATTTTTGATATGCAAGTTAAAAAGGTAACAAACAGTCTGTAGGAAAACATTTGCCTACCTGGACACATTATTCTGACTCCAATCCGACCAGTCTTTGCTCTTACTACTTACTGCCCTGTGCTGGTGGGTAGCAGCAAATACCAATTTCAGACTGGGTTCAAACCCATGACCTCTTGCAATCAAAGCAAACATGAGACCACTTAGGTGGAAGAATTTCCTGAAATTGCAATAATTAAGCTTTTTATTAATTCTTAACCTATTTTTGAATAGTCAGGGTTTTACATCACCCTTTTAGAACCACCTCACCAAAGGCATTACAAAATTTTATATCTTAAAAAATCATAATAGATAGATAGAAACTTAAATAAGCAAAAAAGATCAGCAAAACATGACCTTCCATTAAGACAATATGGAGTTATTGCCCTTTGATGACGATTTTTTACCCCATTTTTTTTTTGGCGTTTTGCCTTCTATGATAAAAATTATAATAGATTAAAAGACACTTTAAATCACAAAAAAGATCAGCAAGGCAAGATCTACTAACAAGTCAAATTTTGTCGATATAGTTTGTAGACTGTCACTTTTTATAGGAGTGATTGGCCTTAAATGAGGATTTTATTTACCCTCTTTTGTGTTTTGAGCAAAAACTAAAGAAGAGAGAGTGAAACTAAACAAACTAAATGATGAGCAGTTATAAAAGATCAACAAAACAGATAATTTTGTCATGAATTCTATTCTCATCTACAATGTTGGAGAGTGTCCTTTGTTGATTATGCACCGATATACCAAGGTGAGTGACACAGGCTCTTTAGAGCCTCTATATATAGTTATATATAATAGCCATAAAGTTATTTGTAGGAACCTTTTTTTAATCTGATCAAGTATGATAGTCAACAATGTGACCGAGGTTTTCACACAAGCAATTCCCTATCTATTATGCTATGGGAATCATCTGTTTGTACGAAAATCAAGATATTAAGAGAAAGGCATCCAATGAGGTCAGTTTTAACATATGGTTTGGTTGGGTGTAAAGCTTGAAAGACATCCTTCAAAAAAGGATTGCTGAATTTATTTCTTATCTCCAATAGTTTGAAATTTTGTTAGGAATAAGATCTTGTACCTCAAAATAAATTCAATATCAGTTTTAGAATATGTTGCCAGTCCCCTCTCAAGTTTTCAAAATGCACTTCACCCAACAAATTTTAGAACAAAAGTTGAAGAATTGTAAATGACCCATTTTCAATCCTCCCTCTTTTTTTATCTGCAAACATTGTATTGGGTTTGATTTGTTCTGTTTTTCCAAGTTCACTAAGTTAAAAGTAAAATAACAAAAATACCGAACTCAAAGGGAAATTCAAAACGGAAAGTCCTTTATAAAGAATAATCTTTTCATTTCATTCAACATATGGATTGGAATATTTTGGGTAAAGATGTGAGCAAATGAATTTATTTTGCAAGCTTAGAGTCTTTATTATCATGACCTCCAAAAGCAGTGTTAGCTTCCTATGCTGCCAACTTTTCAGCACTTTTGAAATATCAATGATATTTTTCTCTGAAATTCAAGCTGATCATACAATCTAGATCCAAAGAAAAAAATTATCCTAAAACTGTAATGTTTGAACTGGACCAGTTAACAAACATTTCCGCACACAAAATTAAACAAACCATTTACCGAGATAGATTAAATTAAAACTGATTTAAGCCTTCTTTTAAAAAAAAACCATTCTATAGAATAGAATGTGTTTTTTTTCAAAATCTATTAGTTATATATAACAATCTTTCTTTATAAATTTTTTTCTAGGTAGTACATTAAATAATATAAAAGTATAGTATTATCTCCCATAAATCTCCATTTCATATATGTGAAAAAAATATGTAGAAAATAACTTTTCTTGTGTTCAGATATTAATCAGTTCAACATGTTAAATATTTTATACAATGATTTTTTTCATACAGAACCTATTTTTTTGGTAAATTAATACAGCAGATGGAAAGACAATAAGGTCACAGGTGTAACATCACCCACAGAGAAAGTTTCAAGAAAGATGGATCACATTTTAAGATTTACGATTTACTGTATCTTTTCTATAAATCTTGGTAAGTGAATAAATAGACTGTAGGATAAAGGTTATAATTTAACAGTTGCTTTTGTGGTGAATATCAATTTGTTGAATTGCTTATTTATAGTTTGAAACTAAACTTGAATGGTTTTTATTTTGGTTTTTCTTATACTTCTACTTCTACTTTTACCACTGAGTGACTACTATGGCAAGCCGTTTTACTATTTATTCTAACTTGAAAATATCTAATAAACTTTATAAGATATCTCATATAGTTTATAAGATATCTTATATAGTTTACAAGATATCTCATATAATCTTCTTTATAATATATCTTATAAATTATATGAGATATCTTATATAAAAAATATTTATAAGGTATATTATAAACTTTATAAGATATCTTATAAACTTTGTAAGATATCTTATATACTTTATGAGATATCTTATGCAGTTTAAGATTATATGAGATATCTTATACTCTTTATAAGATATGACCACCGTTATTTGGTTGACTATCCATGTCACTGTGCGCTTGCATACTTAACAAGTCCAAAATAATTTTAACAGAAATGAAAAATAAAAATTGTGCTGTACATAACATATAGACATGGTGCAAATTAAAACATGGGACTTGAAATTTAATGTGCATGCAGTGGTCTCTTTACCGAGTCAAGACTTTCTGCAGCGGTCACCGAGGCAGGTAAGGTGTTCCAATCTCTTATCGTTCTTGAGTAGAATAACTCTTTCCTGGTTCTGGTCTTGCAAGATGGTGTTTATAAAGAGTGAACGTTGGTTTGTCTTGATAATCTGTCGGGTGGTATCAGTTTGTCGCCAGCCTCAATCTACTTCCTCATTCGAAATTTTGTATAAGAGGGTTGTCTAGCGTTCTTTCATCTCTCCACTAGTGTTGGCCATTGTAATGTTTGTAGCATAGATTCAACTGATGATGTGTTGTGGTACCTGTTTGTTACATACCTTGCTGATCTTCTTTGTATCATTTCTAGTTTATGCTTGTCTTTTTGTAGGTGAGGATCCTATACTGAACTTGCATATTCAACTGTTGGTCTTACTAAAGCTGTATGTGCCTTTTCCTTGATCTCACTGTTTGCTATATTTAAGTTTCATTTAACGAATCCCACTGTCCTATTAGCTTTCTGACAGAAGTTGTTTATATGAGCACCCCACTTTAGATCAGATGTTATGGTAACTTCCACATATTTGGCTGATGATACATGTTCTAAGTTGTGGCCATGGAGGATGTTATTTTTGTGTATTGGTTCCTTCTTTTTTGGTGGTTGGCAGAACTACACATTTATCGGGATGGAACTGCATCATCCTTTTTTCCTCCCACGTGGCTAGCTTGTTGAGGTCTTCTTGTAGACTGTTGCTTTCTGATGAGACAGTGATGTATGCAAAAGTGTCATCTGCATATAGCCTCACTTGATGAAATGTTGTCCGGCATGTCATTGATGTAGAAAAGGAAGAGGCTGGATCCCAGTACTGATCCCTGCGGGACTCCGGACTCTATCTACATTTATGATGTCAGACTTCTCCCCTTCTATGACCACGCGCTGTGTTCTATCAGAAAGAAAGCTTTTTATCCAAGCATTTGTTTTTCCTTTGATTCCATAATGATAAAATTTATGGATTAAGAGACTGTGGTTTACTTTGTCGAATGCCTTCGAGAAATCCATGATGAGGCCGTCTGTTTGTTGTCCATTGTCAAAGTTCCTCGTGATGTCGTCGATGAACTTCACTAGTTGTGTCTCGCATGACAATTGTTTTCTTAACCCATGCTGCATTTTGTAGAGGATGTTATTCTTATATATTCGTATCTGCATGATTCATTATGTGGCTGGTGACTATATACTCCATAATTTTGCAGCAGATGCAGGTAAGAGATACAGATCTATAGTATTAGCTTCGAATCGTTTGCCTTCCTTAAAAAACTGGGCATACATTTGCTGTTTTCCATATCGTTGGTACTATTCCAGTTTCATATAATCTTCTATATATCATTGTTAGGATTGGTGATACTTGTAATGCCAATTTCTTTTGTACTCTAGGTGTTAAGTTGTCTGGGTTGCTGCTTTATGTTGGTTTAGTGCTAATAGTAGCTTTTTGGTTCCATTTTCTGTGATGATTATGTCTTTTGTTGTCTGTCTGTACCAATTCACTCTGCGCATTACAACGTATTTGCGTCGTTGTTCTGTTTAAGACGTCACTATAGGAAAAGTAATCTGAATTACAGCCTCAGATATTATAGGGTAGGATAGTATAGTTTGATATTAACAAACTAATTAAGTTCTTCGAGATTATTTTCAGTAACTGCAAGCAATCTTTGACGCAATATTGTTTATTATTTGATATTCTTTTGTCTTTTTAACTGGAATTAGAAGGGTAAATCGCTGTCCATGTACTGAATTTCATCATACAGTTATGAACTACCCTTGTTATTCTGTGATGAAGGGTGTTTGTAACATGATACATATATAATTGTGTTTTTATTGATTACTTTATTAATAAGAAAATCAATGTTAGTACCAACAAAGACACTATTGAAAGAACTTATATATACTACAATGCTGAATTGATAAGAACAGTGTATCTGAATTTATGGGCTCTATTAACAACATGACGCTATCTACGATATGTGCTGCAAACGTTTAATATCAAGGACTGTCTCTACCTTTTCACACCTCCGCATCAAAGGCACCGAATTTGTAATTAACGATCGGTTATTGCATGTTCACTGTTTGAATATGGTACTTTGCCTTTGGGTAAATCTATGCTATTGACAATATAATGACAGATTAGTACCCAGTGATAGATTAACTGATAAATTCATCTAAATTTTAAATTGCATTTCATATTATACACCATTTTTGGCAACCTAGGTGGGGAAAAAAGGGGAGCTGCAGATGGCTCTTGACTGATTTGTGATCACTTTACTTGATTGTGATGCATAACAATACAGGAACAAGTTGGCTATTTAATTGGTGCTATTTATGCCCATAGAGATTTCTACATCTAATTGAATGCGAAATGACAGTTATTTTGATTGCTTTACCTTTGAAACAAAGCGGCAAACAAATATGGGCTTAGTTTTTATAATATAGGCTATGTGAAGAAATATGTACAAAATAACTTTTCTTGTGCCCAACTTGAAAAAAAACTCAACAAAGATTCAAGACTTATATCAATGTACGCCAGACGCGCGTTTCGTCTACAAAAGACTCACCAGTGACGCTCGAATAAAAAAGTTAATAGGCCAAATTGATGACCTAAAATTCCGAAAAGTTTTACCAAATACATCAAAGGTACTTTATTCCTGGGGCAGAAAACTTTATATTTCGAACGATTCAAAGTTAAGTAAACAGCTAATTTATAAATAAGAGCATATCAATGATATTTCATGTCAACACAGAAGTGCTGGTTACTGGGTTTGTTAATTTATATTGGAAGTTTTTTTTCATTTTAATGTTGTCAGTGACTTATGCCCTGTCGTATGTAGACAGCATACCGTTGTTTTTAAAATATCATTTATATTTGTAAATGAAATTCCATGTGACACGTTGGAATGTGCGGCGTGGCGTCGACAGCTGATACATGAATTACTTCTCAATCAGTTCCAAACTTCTATCCAATAGCGTATGTCATGAACATGCATCAATCTTTAACATGTAAATTCACAGAATAAGGTACATTTTCGGTCATTTTTGGCCATGTAAATTCACCAAAAGCAACAAATTTATATCATTCCATTATCAATTATAACTTTTAAACTGAGCCTCTTAAAAATGTCAATTGTTGATTGTGCAATTCGACTTCAACAATACATACAAAGAATAAAACAGGAACCACAAACACCAAAATATTTCACAATTCAATAGACCACACCAACCACCACGCTCTTCTCCACCCGAAACCGGATGAAAAACATTAACAAACTACAACGTACAATACATGGTACAGACAACTTGACTTGGAACATGAAAATTTCAACACCCAAAATAAACTATGATGGATAGTAATGGGTATATGGCATATATTGGTAGATTAAACCATTCATCTAGTGTTACCGATACAACGCAATGATCAAACAGTTCAGTATTTGACTGGAAGAAGTACCTGTGAACCGTCATATTCTCTTTAGGTTATTGTTACTACACTCACGCGCAATGTTCTATTTTTTAGAATAGTTGTGAATGTAAATTTTTTGAAAGTTGGTATTAGCTAGAACATGACAATTTTTCAAATGCTGCTTTCATATTTTTTCTTGTGGTTCGCATTATATGCTGCTAGGTCATTTAAAGCATCATTAACTAATTTCGAACATGAATACTGTCTATCGTAAGGTCAATTAGGAGTTCTCGTCAATTGATATCATAAGAGGCGTATTAATAGATGCAATGAATGAGCTTGATCTGAGCCAAGCATCTATCAGCAAAAACGCAGAAAGGATTACAGGTTAAATAAAATTAGCGACTAAACAGTTCATTAGTTCAAGTAGTGCCAAATATGGAGCAGGATTTGCTTACTCTTTCAGAGCACCTGAAATAACCCCCGGCCTTTGTTGGGGTTCATGTTGTTCAGTCTTTAGTTTTCTTTGTTGTGTCTTGTGTACTGTTGTTTGTATTTTCTTTGTTTTTCGTTTTTTTTTGCCATAGCATTGACAAGTTGTTTTCGACTTGTGAGTTTGAATGCCCCTTTGGTATTTTTCGCCTCTCTTTTACCAGCTTTTTTAAGCCATCTAACAAAACCGACAACAAATTTGGTGAGAGAATCATCACAGAGATTCAAACCTGAGAAGCAAAAATAAAAGAAGTACCATTTTACGTTGAGGAGATTACAATCGACCAGTTATAGACGGGGGAATGATATAAAAGGTAACCAACTGCCACAATCAATCAACAGAGAATTCATACAGATGTCTAATACACCACAAGAGACAGCATCTAATTGCTTACACATACTTTATCTGAACTCTGTTGGATAGTTGTCTCATTGGCAATCATACCACATCTCCTTAATTCTATATACTTGTTATTTACCAACAATCTAGGACACATAGAGAGATGTAAAACACCACCACCTATAGGAAATAGTGACCATGACATTGCACTAGTTAACACACCAGAAAACGTTAACAAACCAAAAAACCAACAAAGAGAAAAATATTACCTTTGGAAGAACGCAGACTTTGATAGTATAGGGAAACATCTAGACAGTAAAGTTGATAGTTTTAACAAAACACAGTTTGATGATTTTAACACCATGTGGGCATCAGCAAGGCAGATCATACAGGAATCCATGGACAAGTATGTACATAAAGATCACATGCTAGACAGTGGGAAATACCTTGGGCTCACCATCAACAAAGATCTCATCTGGCTGTATAAAACACATCAACAGAGCATCGGAAAAACTTCCAAGACACTTAGGTTTTTACGGAGAAATTTGGGCAGGTGTACTTCTGAATCAGAAACCACAGCATACTTAACCCTAGTAAGACCAACCCTAGAATATGCTTCTACTGTATCGGATCCGCACCAAATCACAATCATAAGATTTCAAAAAAAGTACAGAGACGAGAAGCTCGCGTTATCTATAGCTGCTACCAGGACAACTCTCCAGAATGTGTAACAAAGTTACTGGACCAATTAACCTCAGTGGGAATCGTTCCAGAACAGACGATAGAAACAGAGTCTTACTGTTGTGTTATAAGATACAACAACAGTTAATTGCTAGTTCGGGTCATTGGAGGACCAGAGTTGACATCACACACAGAAGGAATTATTTCCATCTAAAAGATTTGTTTAGAAGTTTAACTATTATAGATTAACTACTTCACGAAGTAAGATTTTCTTTTACTCTAGCGAACTGCTGGTGAAAAAACTATGATTTTGCTTAAATGTAAAAAAAATATTTAAGAAACGAACGAATGATGAAAGTTCAAAACAGTTAAAATACGTTTATCTTGGTGTGGTGATTAGTACACAAATAATGCAAAGATACTACGGCAAAAGAATATTAAGAAAATTCCATTAGGCTTACATTAAAAATTGTGTTACAATTTATAAATATATCAATATTGTGAAGTCATTACACGCTTGTTACTAACAGTTGTCGAGGTGAATAGAAATTAAAGTATTCTTGATTCATTATATTACAATATACTGTGGATTCATTTATTTTCGTGCGTACCAATTTTCGTGGATTGAGGAATAGTTGTATTTTCGTGGAAATTTGCATGATTTCGAGGTTTTGAAAACGTCTGCATACAACCTTAAGAAAATGTGCACTTCATTGAACATTTAAATTCGTGGTTCACGTATACCCACGAAATCCACGAAAATTGGTACCCGACAAATAATAATAAATCCACAGTATATGATAGTTAAGCTTTAAATAGATATCACCAAACCATAATTTAAAATCATATATAATTTCTTTACATAGTCCGAAGCCAATGTGCATTTCCGTGCTCAAGACAAAATGTAACTTATGACGGAGTAAATCCTGGTATTGACGCTATATACGGAACTCAAACAGATAAAACGATTCTACAAGTGTTCGATGCTAATACTATTCTGGCAGAATTCTATTGCGTGTCAAGATCGGGACCTTTCTATCTGTTACGGTATGAACAACTACATTTATTTATTTCCTGTGATGATAAATGTAATAGCTATTCAATAATTCAATTATCTTTCATTTGCACTTCAAATAATAATACTTTAGGCAGTTTTTGATATCGTTCAATGAAAAAAAAAAACTTTATGAGTTCAACTCGTGTAAAGCGCTTTTCGTTTCTAGATTTACCTTCATAAGGAACGTGCAAAGCTAAACATTTGAAAGACAGGAACGTTTGAATACGGGGGAACGATTGGTGCTATATGCCCATAATGGAAGTACATGATATACCCAAATTAATCTGAGGTCATCGTATTATGAGGGAGTTGGAACCTTAGTTTCTTCCTTATTTCTTTATAATCGGTGAATTTTATATGATTGATCTCTTTGCACTACCTTCAACAGAAAATAGTATATAAGGAAACATTTTTTTACATAATAAAAGCCCATTATGTTTAAAAAACGTATAATACTTATTTCTGAAGTAAACTTTAATTGTACTTCAAGATGAATCGTATGAGAGACCAAATAAAGTTCTGGTGAATAGTTCATATTCAAGTGCGCAAAAAATTGCCTGGTAAAAAAAAGAAAAAAGTATATAGAACAAAACAATATAAAAGCAACACCAAATCTTAGATACAGCATTTTATAAAACAGTTTATTTTGCAGTGAAAACAATGGGACCCATGACCTATACAGATGTAACAAAGATGTCATTTATAAACAGGCACCAGAAATCATTGTTGTATACAAGAGTCAGTCTAGTAAGTATTGAATTTAAAAGAACAAATTTTAGTGTAATAAATAGTACAGAGATGAAATTTAAGATGATGTGTTATAAAACAATTACTAGAAATGAGAATCAAATCAGATATAAGCAGGATTAATCGAACAAAATATAGATTTCGGTTTATTCATTTCATACGAAAAACATGTACTTAATATACTAGTATGAATAAATAATTGAAAAAATATAAAGAGCATGTACAGTGGAAACAGTAAAATGAAATAGTCAGTAGACTAAAGAATCAGTGTTTTATTGATTTTTGTCTTGTGTATCAAATTATAAGCCTTGTATCTTTGAATGCTTGCACTGACTTCATATTCATTCGTTAAGATTGTCTTTTGTTTCAACGACATATACAAAAGCGCAAATGTTACACTTTAATCAGTAAGCAATTTTTTATGATTTACAATTCAGACCGTTGTAACACTTTGTAATAACAACATTAATGGTACTTAGTTTTCTGCACTAACAGCGTTTTTGCGACAATTAATGTCTCTTCAGCAAAAACAAAATATTTTAAAATCCAAAACTTAGCACAAACGTTGAAAAATTGATAACCCTCCCCCCCCCCCCCCCAAAAAAAAAAAAATAAAATAAATAAAAAAAATAAAAGTAAAGCAAAACTTGTACAAGGAGAATGATATTGGTAAGATGTTTTATGTAAACTACTACTGTATTGAATGGGATGTCTGTTGTCATATTTCATAGTTTTTGTTGGTTTTGATTTAACACTTTCAAGTGGAAACTTAAAAGTGCTGGCTAGTATATGGCTGCGTGCGAATCTTACTCTCCTTGTTTTTGAATAAGTTATCTGAATGTAATATATCCCGAGTTGTTTCTCTTATCTAGAGTTAAAGCATTGTTGTGACGTCATTCTATTGTTGTACCCGTTCTTTATTTCAGTGATTGGACTATCATTTACCTGTAAGAAACCATTATATTACCTTTAACTGTTTAATATTTTTAGAATAACCCTCCTCTTTCTTAAAAATATTGGACAGCTGGAGGTAGCATAATTGATTCTTACAGGTAAATGATAGTTCAAGGACTGAAAAAAAGTTCCATCAATTCAAACAATTTGTTACTTCATTTTGAAAAAAATTAACAACGAAAAGAACAAATGACAATTACACCAAAAACATTTTTTATTAAGATCATTTTCCAATACAATAATTTCGTCACTCATCAAGACGGTTTCTTGAAAAAAACCTTTTTAAACTGATTTTAACACTGCCAGCGTCAATACTTGTTTCACACCCATTTTTCTCATGTTTTGGGTTGTCTCCTTTAGCACCAATTTGGTTGACAATGCTCGTTGTAAGTTTTGTTTTTGATGCTTTTAGGTCTTTCTTTTTGCAAAAGATTTTTGAAATCCTCGCCCGTCTTTGGATATAAAAATCGACATATGTGCTGCTCTCATTCTTCTTAACATCATTTTCAGCTACAATGAAAATGAAAAAAAAATAACATAATGCTTCTAACGTTTAGATCATGCTGCAATACGAGGACCTCAAGTAAAATAATTTTATTATCATAATTAGGATAAATCGTTCATCTGAAGTTTTACTAAGTGTCGATTTGCAAGCCACAGATTGTTCCTTGGACAAAATAGCTAATTAAGAATTTGATTAACAACTAACCTTCATCCCGTGTACAAAGTTCACATCGAGAATTTGCTTCATGAACTAGGGGGCTACAACAGTTTTTATGCAAGTTTTTTTTTATTAAAAAATCTGATATTATTTTTATATGTTTGTTAACTTTAGTTTTTAGACAGTTTGTAAATGTGTTATATATATTTGAACATAAACCCTTTCCTGCATTGAATTGAGTGAACAAATGGAAGTTATTGGTAAAGGTATTTTTACTATATATAACGTCAAAACACGAATTACATTTGTTTCTTTCCAATGTATTTATGATCAGTTTCAAACACTTATGATCTCAAAAGTAAAATTGATTGAATACAATAAATATATAGTAAGCACACAATCAAGGATATGTAAAACTTATAATGCTTTGTTTTGAAAGAAAAAAGAAAGAAAGCGATGTTAGCACAGGGAAATCGAGGGACAAAACATGAAAAAAGGACAGCAATACGCAAATAAACTAAACAAAAAATGAGCGACACGAACCTTGCAGAAAAAAACCGGAAAGGGGGGTTTGGGGTATTCAGGTGGTCCGGTTTGGGTAAACAATAACTGTGTCTTACAAGACAACCGCTGAGTCCAGGTCAATTTCTGTGAACGAGGAAGGAAAGAGGGGGTCTTCTCCATATTTCGCCGGATATATCATGGCGATGAATTTAGATATCATAACTATATTAATTTATTTTTGCAAGTATTTGGATCATAATTCTCTTAAAATTCACTGAAATAATATAAAAGGGGGAAATTCCGATGACCAACAAAATAATTAAAATTGCTTGCACGCTTGTTATAATTATCTTTTCATGTATGCTCATTCATTATATTTAATAATGTTGTATTTGAAATAAAATCGACTGCGGTGCACTCGATATGGTTGGACCTATTTCTGCAACGTGCACCTGTCTTCAAGCTTCATGTGGTTTTAAATTTCTTTTTCTCATTCACTTAAAGAGAAATAAAGCCCAGAAGGAATAAGAAAGTAATTGGAGAGGGCTACATTTTAAGATATATATACTACTAGCCATTATTGACTGCTATAACGAAATCCTCCTCGTTGTCTGCACTGTAATCGGATATACACGAACACAAATTTGAATTTATTCCAAGGTTTGAAACAACACAATCACTATATTCGACATCGCTATCTTCTTGTCGGAAAGGATTTTGCATAAAGAATATACTTTCATCGTCTTTATCCATTTTTAGAAACCAAACTCATGTAAAGGAATTCACGGAAAATGTATAATGTAGTCCTAGCGCACACAAAACGCATGATACACATATACTAGGTCTTCATGGACATGTAGCTATACATGTATATAGATAAAAGAAGATGTGGTATAAGTGCCAATGAGGCAACTCTCCATCCAAGTCACAATTTGTAAAGGTAAACCATTATAGGTCAAAGTACGGCCCTCAACACGGAGCCTTTACCTTCAACTGTACTTTATTTTTCTATTGTTTAAAGGGGCCAACACGTAGGATAGTATTAATAAAGTTTATCCAAAACAATTTACATGCTTGATGCAAATAAATCTTAACAAAAGTTTGTATTTGTTTACTTTATTCACCTTCTTTGACAAGTTAAACACTGTTTTAAGTAAGATATAAGACTCTAACAGTTCATTCTGTATAATATTGAACAGATCTTCGGCCTGCGGCCTCAGACCTGTCCAATATTTTACAGAATGGACTGTTATCGGAATGGAATGGAACATTTCTTCTGCAGACAACATCGTATAGACGGTAATTTCATATTGGTCAATCGTCATAATTTCATAATGTAAATCCTATTCTTTATAGAACTGAAATGTTTTGCAGGAACACAGAAAATAGTGTTTGCAGATGTTTGCCGAGAGGTTGAAACTTTCAGTTGATGGGTGTTAGAAAAAAAAATTAATCAAACTTAAACCTTACAATAAAATCATTGTTTATCCATATCTAATTGTGGAATAATTGTTTTTTTCTGTATAAGTTTTTACAGGATTAAATCAGTTTGTGATTCAAACTGAATTAAAACTTTGAATGCGACTATGGCTTTGCGTTTCGTATACTTGTTGTGCATGTACTTCATTTGTTTTCTTAGAATTGAACACATACAAACACTGCATAGAAATTTGTAATATTAACGAAATCATAATTAGTCATGTATAGGAAACCAGCAAAGACAAATTGATCGAATCACATATACACCTGAATTTGCGATAAGTAGCTTCTCATATCCATCTCTGAAACATTTTAAACGCATTACACGAGTTTGATTATGTTACAAGTTGTTTTATTAAGAGTATTTTTTTTCTTGTAGTAACTGTTCCCGGTAAGTACCGTGTATTTGAGGAGCAAAACTTTAACAGTCGTGCATACACGATTTCATTGATGTATGTCATTGTGAACAGATTGTATATTGATTCTGTAGTTAGTAAAATTGAGAATGGAAATGGGGAATGTGTCAAAGAGACAACAACCCGACCATAGAGCAGACAACAGCCGAAGGCAGTTAGCCATATTTATATTGTAAAAAACTCATCAAAGATACAAGGGTTATAAGTTTGTACGCCAGACGGGCGGTCCGTCTATAAAAGACTGATCAAAGATACAAGGGTTATAAGTTTGTACGCCAGACGGGCGGTCCGTCTATAAAAAACTCATCAAAGATACAAGGGTTATAAGTTTGTACGCCAGACGGGCGGTCCGTCTATAAAAAACTCATCAAAGATACAAGGGTTATAAGTTTGTACGCCAAACACGCGTTCCGTCTATAAAAAACTCATCAAAGATACAAGGGTTATAAGTTTGTACGCCAGACGGGCGGTCCGTCTATAAAAAACTCATCAAAGATACAAGGGTTATAAGTTTGTACGCCAGACGGGCGGTCCGTCTATAAAAAACTCATCAAAGATACAAGGGTTATAAGTTTGTACGCCAAACACGCGTTCCGTCTATAAAAAACTCATCAAAGATACAAGGGTTATAAGTTTGTACGCCAGACGGGCGGTCCGTCTATAAAAAACTCATCAAAGATACAAGGGTTATAAGTTTGTACGCCAGACGGGCGGTCCGTCTATAAAAAAACTCATCAAAGATACAAGGGTTATAAGTTTGTACGCCAGACGGGCGGTCCGTCTATAAAAAACTCATCAAAGATACAAGGGTTATAAGTTTGTACGCCAGACGGGCGGTCCGTCTATAAAAAACTCATCAAAGATACAAGGGTTATAAGTTTGTACGCCAAACACGCGTTCCGTCTATAAAAGACTGATCAATAACGTTCAAATGAAAAAAGTTAAAAGGCTAAATAAAGTACGAAGTTGAAGAGCATTGA